ATTCTCCTTATTCCTGATTAGCCTGGGATTGAGGATATTCAGATTAAAAGTTACACCAGAAATTTGGAGGAAATAATACTTCAATATTTAGAATGTTGCTACAAAAATCACTATGAGTGAACTGTTTGTGTTCCTCAATAGCGCCAGAGTGAAGCCAACCATGACTGGGTATCACTCTATCCCCATAATTAGAAAATACGGCATTTATATTTGTGTTTTAATGGGAATTTATTCAGTTATTACCTAGCTGTTCCTTTAACATGGGCTGCAGAAGGAGTGGGAAGTATTTAATAGCCATTTAAATAGATGTTTGGAATGTTTTTCCCAAAGCTGACCCACTCACCTCCCAAGGCTGGTCCAAGCAATCAGCTCCCAGAATGAGCCCAGAGCTGTGGGTTGAGCACCCCGTGAGTCTGCCTCAAAGGCACCCTGAAATGCCCGGCTAAGCCCCGTCCTGTGGAGGAGCCCCTGGCCACAGCAGCACCGCGCTGCAGGCGCTTCCTTGCTGCGCTCCGGCCGCGCCCGGTGCCAGGCGAGGGTGGAAGCAGCGGGAACCACAGAGGTCAGCCCCAGGCTCAGCCCCAGCTCCCCAGCCCCACCCCCGGCAGAGAAACAAACTCTCCACAAGAGAAAGCGCCTGTGCCCGGGCCAGGCTCTCACCTGCGATCCGCCGCCTCTTCCCGGCCCGCGGTCCCTCCCTCTTTTATCTGCCCGGCGTTATCAGCCGGGGCTGCCGCGGGCACTCCCCTGGCGTGGGCGGCCAGGCCAGCTCAGCCCTCGCCTCACCTCCCACCCTGTGCCCGCCGGGGGGGCTCCTTTGCTCGCACCTGGATACACAGCCTGATGCTCCACCGGAGCTTTCCCGGGACTTTTGAAGGTGGAGATGTGACCACTGCATGGTGGTTTGAGAGTCTTGAGCCCTTCTGGGGGTGTCTTCCAGGGACAAGGTTCCTTCCCCCAAGGTGCTCTTCATCCTCTGCTGCTTTTAAAGGTCAAAGCAACGCTTTCACATCTACCCTCGGAGACACCTGCAGTGCCCAGCACTCCCCATCCCTCCTCCTGACATGCTCTGCCCCACATTCCCTGGGGATCCACGAGAGCTGCTCCCTCTTCCTGCACAGGAGAAGGCACTGGGATGATGGTTTGAACAGGCACCACCCTCCAGCTGCTGGTCTGGAGCATCTGGTCTGCCCAAAGTGCTGCTGCACCAGGAACTCAGCTGGCAAAGCATCTCCTCTGCCACGGGCCAAAGCCCCTCTCCCTGTCCCAGTGCAAAAGCATCTGATGGACAAATGCTGACAGAACAGAGGGGTACTGCTGGATCAGTGAGGGATGTGTTTGAGCATGGAAGTGCACGGGGAGACAGAGGAGCTGCTCCTCAGCTCCTCCTCACTACACATAGCAGTTGTGTTTGCCCTCATGGATCAGAACTCCTTAGATCAGCAGCACAGACTGGAGCAACCGAGCTCCTGCCAGGGCTCCCCAGGGCTGGTTGGATGAAGGTCTTCACCTCGACTCTGTCCTGCATGAATACCCCAGGACACACAGTGGCTGTAGAATGGTACAGATGGTGCAATGCCTCTGGCAGTGACTCTGCAGGTGTGTCTATCTCCAAAGCTGGGATCCAGCATCTCCATCCCCAAAGCTGCCTCCTTGTAGGTGGAGCCATGAACTGATGATGGTCCTGGTCCTTTAATATTTTAAAGAAAACCGGCAAAGTAAATTACAAATGTTGCAGTGAGGCCCAAGTGAAGCTGGTCCTTGTCAAAACCAAGACTGGTTTTGACAACCTGGAGAGAATCCACCTGAGCCCAGGAGAATGCTGGGTTTGGTCATCCTGGAGGGAAGAAGGCTCTGGAAGCCTTACTCTTGACTTTGACTGTCTCATGGAAGCGCTGCAGAGCAGACAGAGCTGTTCAGAGTGCCCAGGGATGGGACAAGAGGCAATGGCAAGTGGTACTGCCAAGAAAATTGCCAACAGACGTACAAAAACACCCAGGATAGTGGTGAAGTGCTGGGACAGGACCCAGAGCAGAGGTGGGGCCAGCATCCCTGGGGATAATGCTTCCTTGAATGAGATCCTGAGCAACCTCCCCTGGCCTTCAGGGTGACCCTAGCCCAAGAGACTCAGGAGGTCTCCAGCCCACCCCTTTCAGTGTGAGACAGAAGCAGAATGTCTGCCTGAGGTCCAGACTTCAGCACCAACTCCAGCTTTAGCTCCAGCTCCAGCACCAGAACCAGCTCCAGTACCAGAAACAGATCCAGCATCAGCTCCAGAACCAGCAGTTTGCACAACAGAGACCACAGCATGGCTCTTGTGCAAAGGGGCAGAGCTGGTGGATTTGCAAAGCTCTGAGTCCCTCCCCTGCTGCATCAGCACCAGATAGAGGAGGAGGATGAGGACATTTCAAAGGCTATGGACAGTTAGTGCAAGTGAGTGCTCAGAAATGTGTTTCACAATGAGGAACTTAATTCAGAGAATCACAGAAGGGTTGGACCTTACCTCTGTTGGGATGGACCTTATAGACCATCTTGTTCTACTCCCTGCCTTTGGTAGGGAAACCTTGCACCATCCCAGGCTGCTCCAAGCCCTGTCAAACCTCGCCCTGGGCACTGCCAGGGCTGGGGCAGCCAAAGCTTCTCTGGACACCCTGTGCCAGGGAAGCAATTTCTTCCTCACAGGGAACAATTCCTTCCCAATATCCTATCCATCCCTGCCCTCTGGGAAGATATTCCCCCTTCTCCTGTCACTCCACACCCCTATGCAAAGTCCTTCTCCAGCTCTCCTGGAGCCCCTTCAGGCCCTGGAAGGGGCTTGAGCTCTCCTTGGAGCATTCTCTTCTCCAGGTGGACACCCCCAGATCTCCCAGCCTGGCTCTAAAGCAGAAGGCCAGGGGCTCTCCCTGCCCTCGAGCAGCTCCATGGCCTTCTATAAACTCGTTCCAGAAGCTCCAGGTCCTTCTACTGTTGGCTGCAGGGCTGGGGAAGTTCTGCAGGTGGGGTCCCACCTGAGTAAGGTAGAGGGGCAGAATTTCCCCCTCTCCTTCTGCCCGTAGTGGGGTATCAGCCCAGAGCATGGGTGGTTTCTGACACACATGGCTGGGGCACATCCATAGCAGGAGTTTGGAACCAGATGACCTTAATGTCCTTCCCAGCCCTGGCCATTCTATGATTCTGTGTTGAGCTTCTCATCCACCAGCATGTCCAAGTCTTTCTCAAGGCAGCTTGCAATCCATCCATCCATCCATCCATCCATCCATCCATCCATCCATCCATCCATCCATCCATCCTCTTCCCAGTCTGTACCTGGGCTTGAGATTGCCCCAACACCATGTAGGACCTTTTACTTGGCTTGGTTCAGTGTCATGAGTTTTGCACAGCTCCACCTCTCCAGGCAGTCCAGGTCGTTTTCATGGATGCCCCATCCCTGCCCTCCAGTGTGTGACCCCCAAGACACAGCTTGGTGTCACCAGGACACTGCCCAGGCTGCCCATGAGCACCTTTGTCAGTGGGAAAGATATTAAACACACAAACTCCTACATCAACCCCTGAGAAACACCACACCAAACTGCTCTCAAAAAAAAAAAAAAAATTGTTCTCTAACAAACAATTAGAAACCATGGAAGTGGGGGGTTGCGAGATGCTTTGTCTCTTGAATGTCTTCCTTCGAGACTGGGACCCTGCTCCCAGAGCAGGGAGAATGGGAAAGGCCATGGGCCTGGCTAAGCCTTCCGGTGAGCACCAACACAAGCACAAAACCCTTGCACTCAGAGGTCACATGTTGCTCATCTGGAGAATGAAAACAGGAATATATTGATGCCACCAGCAGCTCCTCCAAGCGGAGAGGTGCCATCTACACCTGGGCTGTGGCACAGCGATTAGAAGCAGAGGATGCAAAGCAGAACATCTGGATTATATCTTTATTTTGCCCCTTTTTTTGTTTCTTGTAACTTTTCATGTTTATCTATAACAGCTTTAAGCTGTTAATCTTAAATCTTTTTCATGGAGACTTCCCTGAGCTTTGCTGTGCAGTCTGTCTGGTGTTGGGGAACCAGCTGAACTAGGGAGACTTTGCTGAATAACGGGTCTGGGTCTATCCCAGCAAAATTTACAGGAGGTAGAGACACAACACACACCTTGTGGTCCCAGGGGCTCAGCTGGGCAGGGAGGATGGAAGCACCAGGATCAAGGGAGCCAGGCAGGCACTGGCTTCACAGGGCCTCTGGCTCTGGGCACACTCCAGACTGTTCCAGCAGCTGCTTTTTGTCCTAAAAGTTTTGCTCTTCAATTCATCCCCTGAGGAACTGATAAAAGCAATGACAGTTTCTTTCAAAAGACCTTCAACAACTCACTTAAGAAACTCCAGTTGGTAAATTCAGTTAGAACAGCAACGACTTCCTGCACGGGAGGACAGGCTGCAGATAAAGCTCTGGGTTGCTGATGAGTTTCATCACTGAGGCTGCTCCAGAAGCCATGGAAACTCCAGCAGAGCTGCAGCACTTCATCCTTTCAAAGCCTCTGGTCTGTCCTTGCCCTGACTCCCATCCACCACAGGACACTGTGGCTTACTGTGGTATCAATATCCTCATGGAGTATTTCTCTCTAGGGAGCAGCAGCTTCCCAAACAAGTCCTTCCTGTCAGGGGAATCCTGCAGAATCCCCCCAAAATCCCAGAGTGACTTCTGGCACCTTGGCTGGATTCCCAGAGGCTCCAGGTGCAGGACCACATCCCTGACCCAACCCTCACACAGCAGTGGAGCTGGGAGTGCAGGGGTCCAGCCCAGGCACTCTAGGCAGCCTCATGCCCACAGCCCTCCCTGGTGTCTGCATCCCCAGGGCTGCCACCTCAGCCCCTGCCCTCACCTCACACCTGGAGCATCCACAGCCACATCTGTCCCTCTGAGAAAGGGACACAGAAGGTGTAGAACACCCTCAAAATGTATGTGGTTGTTATAATTTCCCCACCCATCGCCTTGAAGAAGCATCACTGAATCTTTGGCTTTTTTAAGGAAAATGTATTTTTGTGAAAATAGACTTTATTATAATAAAATTTGATATTAAATAAAAACATACCATACCACCACCACTCATGGCCGCTGTGCTGGCACCACTCACGGAGCTCATGGAATTGCCCTGCTCAGAACAAGGACCCACTGGAACATGCAAAGAAAGAAACACGGGGAGGGACAGAAACCATGGCATACAAAACCCTCCATGCTTGGACAGGGCTGCGTCTCAACTGCAGGAACACATCATCTCCTACACAAACAGTGCAAGCTGCCCAGCCCCAGCACTGCTCTCCCAACACTCTGGCTTGGGAGCAGCTCACAGACACAGCTGAACAGAACCGTGAAGAGAGGCAGACGGACAAATAAATAAATAAATAGGTAGATAAATAAATAAATTGATAAATAAATAGATAAATAAATCATAAGGCGGAGTCCCCAGCCAGTGCGTGGTCAAGGTGAACCAGGCAAGAGCAGCTGATAGCAGCCCACCCCCACGCTGAAGAACCGACCCTGCCAGGGCTCCTTCCTCCCCGGGGATCCTCGTGCTGGAAGCTGACTGAGGCAGTGTGGGATGCTCCGAGGCACAGCTGCATATTTACAGGGTTACAGTACAAATAAGAACTCACTCATCAGCCCAGAGACAGCAAAGGGAAGTCACAGAAAACAAAAAAGTGCAAATTTTCTTTGCAGGAAGTGAAGGAGTTGACACAACCTCCTTTGGAGCAGAGAAATATCAAGGTGTGGAGTACATGGGATCTCTCCTAAGGGGCTGGGGCTTTGCTGGGAAAAGCCAGTTAGCTAACTTACAGCCAGAATATAATCGTTAAATTAAAATATTTACAGGGAACCAGTGCACCGAGGGCTGCATGGAGCAGGACATGCTGGATCCCGGAGCTGAGCTCTCACACTTTTTCCCCGGGGGCTCTCAGCCCCCACACCCTCCAGTTTTCTCTATTCAACACATACTTCTTTCCTATGAAAATAATCAGCTTATTGCAGAGGGCTTCTCCTGAACTCTCAGTCTCTAGGGCTGTGTGGGCAGCCCGGATGGAATAAACAAACCCCTTGTTAGTTTTTCTTATTGGACCCAAGTCTTTTGAAGAGGTTTTTCCCCTTGAAGAAGAAGCCTCTCTTCTTTTTACTCTGCCCAGGTGCATCACTGCAGGTGAGGAGGGCCAGTGATGCCTGCTCTGGACTCTGCTCGCCTGGGACAAGGCAGGAAGGTGCTGGCAGAGGAGGAGATGGAGAGGAGTTGCTCTGATCAACAGATCCATCTGGATTTAGCTGGGTGGGAAAGAGAGAAAACAAATAAAACAGCACAAGTTAGAGCTGCTGAAGGAGATCACACCAATATAAACCTCAGCCAGAGAACCTGGCCTTTTCCCCTCTATGCAGGAGGAACTCCCTCTATGCAGTTCCACTTAGGAAGTTTCCAGTGGATTTAAGTTTTGTACTTACAAGCCACACCCTTCCTTAGCTAAGAATTCCTAAAATTCCTGAACTTTGGGCTAACAATAGGACAGCACATAAGAACCACTAAGGACATGGTGAAAGATGCTGCTCCACAGCTAAGTAAGTGAAGCAGGCTCCTGAGAGCATGGACACCTCAGCCATGGAGCCTGCTGGGCTCCCAGCATGCTCTGGGACAGAAGCCAGGACATCAACAAAACCAAATTTCATAAGAACAAGTGCACTGTAAGACCTCCAGAAGATCAAAGAGACTGGCTTCTCAACAGTGGCCATGGTAGGAAGAGGAACTGGGGGTCCTACTGCTCAGCATCCAGCAGATCCAGAAGCAGGAGGGGCAGAAAGCCAAGTCTGGTGCTCTGCAGTGGCACCAGTGGAGCAGGACATGGAGAGGTCTTAGAATCAAGTGGCACACAGAAATGTTCCTGAGCCCCTGAGTGTTTGAGATGGTTAATTGGGACCCACCAGTCTCAAAGAGTGCTGTTCCCTTTGGAATTCACAGTGTGCCCTAGTCCTGGGCTCAGTTTCCTCTTCGCAAAGCACTGAGAGGTCGGTTCCTATCAGCAGTCTTTCTTCCACAACCTTCTCTCATAAGGCTCAGCTGGCCAGACAGTGACAATTACCAATCTGGCACATCAAGCTTTCCCAACAGGCTGCAAAGCTCCCCAGGGAAGAGGCTGTGGGTTTCTGAGGCCTAGGAGAGCCTTAGTCTCACTGCCTTCTCTTCCACACAGCTTTCACAAACCAAGCTCCAGCTGTACATCCTATCTTGGCATTACCCACAACACAAGGTGAGAGTGGCTGGAGCTGTGCCAGGGAAGAGTCCTTTGACACTGGAACATCACCCCCTCAGTATCCCTCTACCTGGGCCCCACTGAGTCCCTCACAGGTCTGCAGGAGCCAAAGCCCCCAGCGAGAATGTGAGATGGTGACAGTGCCAGCAGGACTCTCTGCCTGAGTGGAAGCACTCCTGAAGACCAGACTCCAGCGGGGAACTGTGTGAAGATCTCAGCAGCAGCCCCTGGGCAGGACTGGATGGGCCTGGTCCTGGTCCCGCTCTGTGTCCAGGGCAAGCAGCTGAATAAGGCAGGAGCAGAGCCCAGAGCATTGCTGCCACACTCCAGCACAGCCATGCTCATACCCTGTGGGAACTTTATTTTAAGTCTCCTGGGATGGAAAGTCAGAACAACCCTGCTCTGCCACCCTACTGCTGGTTCAGCACCCACCTCCTTTGGGACCAGGAGCACCCAGTGGCTGTGACCTCTCCTCCCCTCACAGGTGGAAGATGTGCCGGTCCAGGCTGCTGCAGGAGTGAAGCACTTCTGGCCCAGGATAAGCACAAACCTCTGCTCTGGGTCAGACTCAGCACCTACAACACCCATGGAGTCAGTCCTGAGTGGGCAGAAGCACAGGGAGCTCCGTCTTGGAGTGAATTTGTGACACCTCCCAACTCCACAAAGCTGAGAGTAAATTTCTGCCTCACAGCAATCACTGAGCTGTGCCAGTACCATCGGTCTATCTCTTACCTGAACTACAGGACAGAGCTGGAACTCCTCTCTGCCTCTCTCCATTATAGTAACCAATCCCACAGCTGACTTTTCCTGAGCTCACACTCCCTTGTTCACCTGAAAATGTTGCTTTCCAAGGCACTCCTGCAACACTCCAAGTGTGCAGCACTGTGCCCTAAGCCAGCTGCTGCCCAGGACATGCTGCAGGATGTCACACATGCTGATGGATGGCCCAGGCTGGCCCTTGGGAAAGCTGCACTCTGCCTGCAAGGTCCACTCCAACCAGTGCTGCAGCAACAGCTGCAACCTCTGTCTATCCTGGCAGCTCAGCTCCAGTGTGCAAAGAGCAGCACTTGGTGCTGATAAGCCCAGTGTTAGTCAGGTCTGAGGAGTCCGGGAGTAACCCAAATAAATCCAGATGAACCACCTGCAGCCAGAAATGCAAGATTTATGGTGGCAAAGAGAAAAAGAAAGCCAGGGGAGGGTTAGATTGGAGCCCACTTTCTTAGCTGGGAGCAAAAGAAAGAATCCCCAGGTTCTGCTCCAGAAACTATGATTTTTGCAACAAAGAATCCTTGGATAAAATGTCCAAAAGCACTGGGCTAACACCAGAAGGGGCTCACCAACACCCAGGGAATAATGTAGGAAGGATGTAAAGGCCCCTGAGCAGCCAGGGCAGTGGAGGCTCTATCCATGCACCATTGGAAAACACTTTTCGGTAAAGGTGGAACAGCTTCAGGACAGACCTGAAATGGCCCCACAAACAATTGCTCCTCTTCTCAAAGGTCTCTATGTGGCAGGAAAGCAACAGAACCAGCTCACAGGTTCATGTGGTAAGAGAAAAATCATATGAAAATTGGGGGTTCTTCTCTAAGAGAAAAAAAGGGAAAAACTACTCTGTCAAAATCCTCATACAAGTTATGAGAGTAATAAACAAAAGAGTGATGTCAGTTTTCAGGGGTGGTTTTAGTACTCTTTCAGGTGTTACTGATTAACACAATTTTTGAAAAGCAAACATTTGAAACTAAGGAAAACAAAGACTGCTCCCGCTGGCCCACAAAACCAGGGGTCTCACCCACCCAGCCCCAGAACAATTATCCACATGAGGTTGGTTTTAGGGCCTAAATGTTACTATTTTCTTAAATGAATGGTGGGCAGGGGTTTTTCAGGACTATTCTCAGGAAGCGCACCTTCCTGAGTAAAATACAGAAGGAAAAAACCCCAGGCTGAACATGAAGTGTGCTCAGACTGAGGAGGACCTTGCAAACACCAAACGACGCTTTGGCTGTTGATGCAAACAGAAGGGCCAAGCTGAATTACAAAGCAGGTCCTTCCCAAATCTCAATATCCAGCACAGTCCCATGCTGGTCCCCAAAACCACCAGATAATTGTTCCAGCCAACTGCACTTCATGTGCTGAACGGTTTGTCTTTACCACAGAACCCAGGTGGCAGTGAAAGGTCTGACTTCAGACCTGAAGGTGGATCTGCCACCACAGCCCCAAACCAGCCTGTCAAACTACAAGCAAGATTAGGAGCCAACTCCAGGTGCAGGAGCCTTTGAGGTGCTGGGCTGGGTGGGAGGTTGAAGGTCTCACACACTTACATGGTTGCTCTCTCTATGTATCATTCATATCTATCACTGGACTCTTCTCTTCCTCATTCTCTGAAGAAAAGAACCATCCCGGGTGCATAACACAGGCAGAAATAAATACATGAAATCAATTAGAATCAAACACTTTCTGAAGGTGCTTTATAATCAGTCTTTGATAGAAACTGCATTATACTAATGGAAAAATATTCCATCAACAGGAACAGTGTTAAAGCAGCTGCTCTGAGCTGGTAAGCATGAGTGTTTTGGGCCCTGGCTGTGACCAGAACTTCTTGGATTCTCCCCTTTATGCTGTTTTTGTTTGTTTATTCCAATCCCCAAATGTTGTCAGTTTTTAAATTCAATTGCTTCATCTTTTCAGTTGCCAGCACTTTAAGATTTACTCAGAAATACCTAAAAATTATCCACCTTCCCCAGTTCAATTTGGAAATAAATTGTCCTTATTCTCAGGCCTTTGGTAAGGCAGCAGGGAGAAGGGAAGTGTGAAGAACAAATAAGATAAGAACATCACATCCAAGAAATTACAAGTGATTTAAAAAACACTCATGGAGAAGCTTCTGTTGCAACTGGAACAAGCTGTAACCAAGTCCAAAGCTCTGCCATGGTACACACACATCCCACCCTGAGGTGCCAGGGCTTAAGCTGGGACTGGGAATTTGCAGGGAGCCTGCTCTGCTAACAGCAAGATGAACAAGCAAGTTTTCCTTAACTCAGTGGGGTTAAAGTCCTACAGGAATTTGGAAAGCCTCAGGCATGACTGTATCGCTGAAAGAGTTCATTCCAGCTCAGGGACAGATAAGGAATATGTCTGTTTTACAGGAGGTATTTCTTTCTTCTGCCTTTCCCACGAGGTTTTCTGCCCACAGGTTGGGATGCTGTGATTGCTGTGGCAGACAAAACCACTGTGGGGTGAGGTTCTTTTTCTTCAGGAATCATTAAACACACTTAAATGCAGTTAATTAATACCAGTTTGGCTCTGAGCAGGGTAAGTACATCACTTTAACAGGGGACAAATGTACCCTTCCTGTTTGGAAGCTGTTTAGACAGGTCTGGATTGTAAAGCATAAGTGGGAGGAGTGCTGGGGGTGCTGAGCCAGAATCCCCTGGGACAGGTGTCCAGGAGAAGCAGGAAGGCAGCAGGACAGGAGCTAGGCTGGCATGATGCAGAATCAGCCACAGTCATGCCTATGGAGTTCAAACTGATTCCCACTGAAATAAAACTGGTTTAGTCACCTCATCATCTGAATTTTCCAGTCCTCCAGCTACAGGCAGTTTATGGATCAGGACAGTACCAGAAGTACCAAACCCAACAGGTTCCTGCTCTGTGCACCCAAAAGCCAGAGCCAGTGTAAGGGGAAGCTCCCTTGGATCTCAGGAACAGAGGACTAGAGACAAATGGAAAGGTCTGAAGGGCAGGCAAACCTGAAACGTGTCAATTTTATATGGGTTGTTCTTAACATACCTGAAAGGCACTTGTGTTTAAAAAAAATGTCACGAAACATAGGAAAAGAGCTTCCAACCTTCAGCAAGCAGGGATATGTGAGCCAAAGTGCTGCACAGGGTATCAGTCACCCACTGAACTCAGCAGCAGAGACCAGTGAGGAAAGTGGGTTTGGCTTTGCAAACCCTTCACACCTGCCAGTGGCAGACAAGATGACCTGAACTCCCCCTGGTCCCTGGAAGGATGTGGGCTGGGGCTAGAACAACAACCCCTGGAATCTGAAACAGGCCCTGTGGCTGCTAGTTGATGCCAGAGGGAAGGGGAAGATCTGCACTAAATTACATTTAGAATTCCACTGGGTTGCTTTTTTTTTTTTATTTTACTGGTTGAGGTCTCCTTTGGCACCCTCTATTTCAACAGATGAGTCATTTGGTAAGGGTAAATAATTTTGAGAGGGAAACTGAAGAAAGAACCCCACTCTGCATCCTTGTTAACCCCCAGGGAGGTTAGACTTGGGTGACCTCTGGGCTCTTAAACCCTGGCAGTAACAGCTGACTAACCTGTGATTCCCCAGCAAGGACCAGTATCCCCAACAGGGAAGTACAAGGACCTCAGAGAGTTGCTGAGGTCAGCAGATGATCCAACAAACTGCCCACAAACCTCATTATCTAAGCTAGGCTGCTCTGCCTGAGAAGGCATCAAGGCTGGAGAGCAAATCCTGCACCCACAAAGCCTGGAATGCCTGGAAGCAAGGGATGGGGCTGAGGTGAAGGAGGACCAGGCAGGATTTGAAGATAGAGATACAGATACAGAGAACAGGAAGAACTAAGCATGAAAAAAAGGCCAAGAAATGCTGCAGAGAGCAGAAAGCTGGGATGACACCAGTGGGGAGTTCAACAGAGCAGGATTCAGGGCCACCTACCTCCCTAAGGATGGCTCAGAGCCAACCTGCTCTGACTCATGTGGGTCTGACACCACATGACGGTGCCAACAACCTCCCAGGAAGGACTGAAGGTTGAGCCCATGTGAGCTGGGACCAAGCTGGGTCCCTCCTGCCTCCCACTCCACGGTGAGACAGCACTGGGGGTCCAGGAATGACAGAGGAGCTGCTACACTTTTAGCATCAGACTCTGACATGACCCCAGTGTCCCACTTAAGCCTTTATTCCAAGAGTCTCAGCAACACAATTACAAGGAGTTAATTTAACCTTCAAATTCCTTGACTCTGGGGAATGCTTTTGAAACCAAAGGATCCATCCCCCAGATCTGTTTGGCAAACTCCTCAGTGTGTTTTGAATTTATCCAGAAGCACCTCAGCCTGGATTAAGAGATATCTAACTTGGGGTGGATGGAAGAACATTGGTGTTTGGGTGTTGCTAATTCCAGAACTTCTTGGCATGGATATAATAATATTTAAGGAATTTCATGTGCCTGGGGAGCTGTTTGAACCTTTCCTTCCAGTAGGATTTTCCTACTGACCTTTCAGTGGATCTAAACAATTTGCTGGTAGGATTTGAATACTCCTTGCCTACCTGACCACACTGAGGCCCCAGCCGGTGTTGCTTTGTGCCACCTTCTGCACTACAAGTAAGGCTTTGGGAAGAGCTCCTGGCACTCCCTTGGGATGAACGGGCTGCATGCAGTAAGTTCAGTGACCCATGGGTGCTGCGTGCCATGCAATGCCCAGGCTCCAGATACATCCCAGCCTGGTTGGCAGTGCCATGCAGTCACACATCTCACCTGGCTCTCTGCACTCAGCGGAGAAGCTTCTTTATCTTTTGAATGGAATTCCTTGGCTGTGTCACCATCCAAAGGGGCAGCTTCCAGGAAGTTGGATGGGACAAGCCCTCTCTGTTGGTTCAGTTCTCCCTGCAAGATCAACATTCAATTCTCACATCAGCTTTCCTGGAGACATAAGTAACAACTTGAGGTGCAGTGCCCTGCAGAGAAGGTTGGGCTGTAGGCTGAGACAAGTCCAGAACACACCCACATAGGGAGGATCCTCAGAAAATTGCAGAACTCACATCCTTGCTTAGTTGTGGAAAAATTCAGAGCACAGAAACATAGAAGAGAGTAATGGAAAAAGAGATGACAGCAAGTTCTGACAAAGGTGATTTCTACAAACTCAAAATCTCCACTACCATAGTGGAATATGACTGTGTCAGAGGTGCCCTAAGAGACCTTTGATTTTCCCTGGTATTTACTGATGTCTTTAAAGAATGAAGCAGTACTGGCACAATGTCCTGTAGGCATTGCATCCATGATCAGAGAGGCCCAGAGCTGCACTATTATACTCCTACAAATATCCAGCTCAACAGGAGGTGGTTGGCTGAGACAAAACCCACCCCAGCAATGCTGTTTGTCCAACACTATAAAACAATCAAACAAAACATTCTTGGTGATGCCCTCAGACTTAACCTGGAGCTCAACTGCAAGTCAGATGTGTGAAGGCACACTGCTTCCCATGCAGGAAAAGGTGGACGATCCAAGGGCCAAAGCTCAAGTGGGGCACACAGCTGGAGGGCAGGCACAGCCCCAGGAATGTGTCTGCTTACTTGGATCACCATTCCAGCCTCTGACCCAAGTGTCCAAGTGCCTGGTGAAATGCTAGGTCAGAGCAGGTGCTGGTTCAGCTGGTGTATGCATGGAAAAATGCAGGCAAGGCTTTGGGAAACCTGCAGGCAATTGATACCAAAAAATAAACTCAGAACCACTGGGATGTTTAAAGACCACAGAGATGCTCCCAGGGCTGGAGCCCCTCTGCTCTGGAGCCAGGCTGGCATACCCCAGGGTTCACCCAGAGACAAGGCTCCAACACAGACCTCAGAGCCCCTTCCAGGGCCTAAAGGGGCTCCAGGAGGGCTGGAGAGGAACTGGGGACATGGGATGGATAGACAGGACAAGGGACAATGGCTTCCCATTGCCAGAGGGCAGGGATAGATGGGATATTGGGAAGGAATTCCTGGCTGTGAGTGTGGTGAGGCCCTGGCACAGGCTGCCCAGAGAAGCTGTGGCTACCCCAGGATCCCTGGAAGCATCCAAGGCCAGGTTGGACAGGGCTTGGAGCAGCCTGGGACAGTGGGAGGTGTCCCTGGCCATGGCAGGGGGTGGAACAGGATGAGCTTTAAGGTCCCTTCCCCAAACCATTCCAAGATTATGTAATATTGGATTTACAGCGGGAGAAATGAGCGCCAGAAACAGGATGCCCTGCACTAAGTAGAGAGGGGTTTACATTTTTCCCAAAAGCAGGATACATTGTTCCCTGATTGCTGCTTCCCTGCTACTTCATGAACTCCAACAATTTCCAGCATAACCATAGGACCTTCCCAAGCCCTTGACTTACATAGTAGAATCCATCATCATCCATGGACCCAAAGACAGTGATAACGTCCCCGGCACTGAAGGTCAGTTCAGCCTGCAAAGAGCCAGAGAACAGAGGTCACAGGAAAAGCACTGCCTGAAATTTCTCACCAGGAACACAGGCTCCCCTTGGCTTCTTGCCCAATCTCACTCCAGGGGAGGGAGCCCACTGTGTTTGTTCTTGCAGGACCAGGATGCAGGAGGGAAACTGAAGTGGATAACTCTGGAATTCACTGCTAGAGAAGCATTTCAGAATTTAAGACAAGAGCAAAGCCCATTTTAAACCCAATTTTAATAAGGTTTCAAAATAGTACCTACCACCTGCTCTGGAAAGGTACACTGAGGACAAGCTCAGCAACCATCAGAAATACCTTCCATTTCTTTAAACATAATTACAAATCCTGCTCCCTTGGATGAGGCTTTTCTGTATGCAGCACTTAGGGATTAGTCACTAGCAGGAAGGCATACAAACAGGGTGTTTTAACCTGGACACAGAACAGGAGCACAGCACACGGTGACCCTTCACTGTCACACCCTCTGTCGTGTCAGACACCCCAGCACATGCTCATGGGGCACAAGGCTAAAGACAAAGGTGTCACCAGCCTCTTTTAATGGAAAAAGCTGCCCAGTGGAAGCTCCAAACAGGCTGAGTCCCACTTAAGACACTCTGGCACTTCACAGGTGTCAGCTGGAAGGGATCTACTTCCAATATATCCACCATATTATATTCCTAGTCCTCAATTTAATCTCTTGAGGATGCAGGTCACTCCTGTGGAGCATCTCCCACAGAACTCTACCAGCTTGTTTCAGTAATTTGAACTCTTGTCCAAAAAAGTTCTACAAGAGCAGATCACAGCAAAAAGCACAGTCATCTCCTCAGTGACAAGGGTTCTAAAGTGTTTGATGGCTGGATACACGCACACATTGTGTCTCTCCCAAGATATTCCACCATCCCTAAAACACTCTGTCCTCAGCTGTGTCTCTCTGGGCAGGAGACATAGCTTGGGAGGCAAGCATCCTCTGAACTGTGCCCTCTGTTGGCCAGACACTCCTTCATGGACGAAGAGAAAAGATGGGAATGCAAACCCCATGCTTATGTTTGCTCAGAGAGCTAACACTGCTTGGAGGAACAGAGAACAGAGCATGTGCTCATCTCTTTTTGCAGAAAGGATTCTGCAATTCCACCTTTCTACCTGGAACAGACTTATCCACAAAATTACTGTTTGGATTGAATCCTTCCCTGTTTAGATTACACCCCTTCCCATCCCTGGAAGTGTCCAAGGCCAGGCTGGAAGGAGCAACACTAGTGGAAGGTGTCTCTGCTCATGGCAGGGGGTGGGATGAGATGATGGGCTTTAAGATCTCTTCCAACCCATCCCATTCCATGATTCTGTGATTCTATATATAGGAATTGCTTGAAAACAATAACTTTGCAAACTAGTACATTAAACTGGAGCTAAATCTTTTTGTTTGACCTACACAGATACTTAACATAAAAGTCATGTTCAAATTAAGTGTCAGAAGTGCTTTCAAATACTTAAGCAGGTTTTTCCTTTTCCCAGAGTGTTTCCTGGATTGGTGGCTACCAGTAGGAGCTGCTTCCTCCTGCCCCAGATCTGCTCAGTCCTGTCTGATCATTAAAGGATGCAATGAATACTCACACAGTTTCACTGAAACTCTGGTTGGAGCAAAGTGGTGAATGTCTTGAGAGAGAAGGAAAAAATAGATAGGAAGAAGAAACCTCTGAAAAGGGGGGAGCAGCTGGTGGTTACCTCCACATCTGTGTTTGGAGAGCTCTCCTTCGGGTTGTAGTCAAAGGCAGCCACCATCCTGCGAGGAGTCAGCAGCTCTGTTTCTATGTCTTTATGTTTCTGCCCTGCAACAGAAAAATAAAATATTCTTAGATGGAAATACTAGGGCAAAATCCCAAATCACAGCAACTCCTTCACCATTCTTGTAGTGGTCTGAGCAAAAAGAATACTGGGGGGAACTGAGTGGAGAGAGACTTCAGAGGCATTTGGTAAAGCAGTTTTCTGATCTTCTTCGTCATCATTGCCTCATAAGCACAAAAGTGGGGACATTCCCCAATCCCCTCATCCTGGTGCTCTGTTTATATGTATAGGAGTGCTTTATTTTGTGTTTACTCTCACACACATACTATATATATATATAAAATATGTGTATATATACATACACACACAGAGAACAGCTGTCTCTTTACAGTGTCTTGAAAGGACATTTCTCCTCCCACTACACAATGTTCTGCTATTAAGCTACAAAATCTATCCTCCAAGGGCCAGGGACCAGCACACAGGGAAGTCCAGGCCTTGCCATCCACAATCTCCTGCCTGCTCATACCCATCACCTACAGACCTGCCCTGAGCCTACAAAAGCCAAGTCTGGTGCTACAGAAAACACACATTCATGGATTTAAACCCTCCTTTGGGTCAGCACCGGATGCACTGGCAAAGCGTTTGCACACTTGTCCTCTCTGGATAGCAACAGATGAAGCACCTCAGCAGAGGGAGCACCCTCTCAGTGTCCCTTGGATCATAGGGATGTGATGAGTGAGAGACTGCCCTGCTCCTCCCACAGCAAAACACCTGGTGCACTCCCCCTGCAAGCAGCCCCTGCTCACCCAAACCATTCTGCACCCACCACTAAACAAAAAGAACTAAAACCTGTTGTTATAGTGCTTAGAAGCAACACCACAGGGTGTCACACTGGCCCTCGACCACAAAACACATCTGTAATTTGATCATGCCATATCTACTCCCCAGTAAAAGCACTTCTCACCTGGCTGAGACTTACATTCCTGTTTGTCCAGCCCTGCTGGGGGAAGAAAATGCCTCATCAGTAAGAGCTCATCATCAACATGACACAACTGATAAACAGTAAAAAGAACACCAAGACAGCAAACAACAGAAGCAAACTGTTCATGCAACTCAAAGTCTACACCAGTGACCAGGACTCAGGAATGTAACAAGAAGCAGAGGTCAAGCTCCAAAATATAAAAGACATCACTATTGTTAAAAACTTAACACCAGCATAGGATGGGCTCTCTTTCCACTTCCTAGCAGTCGTACAAACATCTGAGGTCCTGAAAGCAAGTAGTAAAAATTCAATGCAGTCTGTAATCCTATAGCAAAAACCAAAGAGGAAGCAGCAGGTGACACAGACCTTTCTTGGAGCGTCTGGGTTTTGGAGGAGGGACGGTTTGGCGGCGTGGAGGTGGAGAAAATGTGCCATTTCCTTAATAAAAACACCAAAAAAGCAAATAAATAGACAAGAGAAACAGACAGTGAATGGAAAGTGAGAAGCATCTTGAATAGTGAACAGGGGACAGAGATGACATGCCTCCCCTGGGAGGCTGACAACAGGATTTCTGTGGGCAGGGCCCTCTGGGCCTCATATGTGGACTCAGATGAGCTGTGATCCACATCCCAAATACACAGAGAAATCCACACTGTACTTACACCTTTTAGGCACTCCACAGCTCAGAGCAGGCAGACTTTGCTGCTCCTTAGCTTTCAGAAGCAGCACCATAAGGACAAAATAAAACCTTGTACCATTAACACCTGAAAAATGCCATATCTCTAGCTAGACCTTCTGCACTGAGCAAGGTCAGGACTGGATGAAATCCCAAATGAACCTAAGGAGTGCCCAGACCAACCCCTCCAAGGCATTTCCTTAGTTACAAGGCTGTGACAGGGGCTTATGGCAGCAGGAAAACAGCAGAGGTACAGCCAGCCTGACTGCTGAGGAATCAAAGAATCACTATGGTTAGAAAAAGACCATCAGGTCCAACCTGCACCCACTGTCCCCTCCTGTCAGAAGTTGTGCAGAGCCAGTCTCTTTTTCCCCAGGCTGAGTCCCTTCCCCAGCTCCCTCACTGCTCCTGGGGCTCTCTGTTCCCTTCCCTGGACATGCTCCAGCCCCTCAGTGTCCTTACCATGAGGGGTCCAGAACTGCCCCTAGGATTTGAGGTGTGTCCCCACCAGTGCCAAACCTACAGTCCCACCCTGCACACACACCTTATTGACTACCACCACCTTCCTCAAAAGTTTCAAACCTGTCATATTTAATGAAGTCTCAGAGCTATTAAAATCCTTTACTCTTCCAAGACTATACAGTGGGGCAGGGCAGAGTATCCCTTGTGTATCCACTGAGGGACACAGGCCACCACAGGCATCCAGCTGTCTCTGGCATACACACAAGAGAAAGAGCATGGATGTGAAAAACACCTTACTCAAATCTCCTCTCCTCAGACACGTTTGTCCTTATTACATATTCAAGAAATCACACAGTGAAAACATCAGGCTCCTTCAGACCCTGTGCTCCTCAGGATCAGCTTCCCAGGGACCAACATTTAGGAAACGGGCACTGTCAGTCTCTCAGAATCATAGAATGGCTTGGGTGAGAAGGGACCTTAAAGGTCTGTTAGAGCTGGATACTGGGTCTCCCTCCACAGAAATAGGAACAAATTCGATTTTTCCTTTTTTTTTTTTTTTTTTTTTTTTTTTAATTTTCTTATTTTTAAGTTGATGTGGGCTTTTTTCCCAGCTCAGGCAATGTCAGGGCTTACCTTTGCCATGACCAACACTTGCGCTATTTTTCATTGCTGAACTGGCAGGGAAACGGGGACCAGCCAGAACAGGAATACCCTGGTGTTTTAATAAGTGGAGCAGATCCAGCAATTGGCACTGGCAATAGAGGAGTGAGGTGGGAGCCATGAGGGAGAGGCACAGGGACACCAGTATTCACAGCAGGGGTAGCTCACAGCCACTGAGCCCGACTCAGCCTGAGCTGCGCTGGCTGCACGTGCCAGGGCTGCTCCCTCTCCTCTCTGAGTACATGAGAGAGAAAGAACAGGAAAGACTCTCCAGTGCACAAGGCACTGACCACATACTTCAGGGAGTAAGTAAGGAGGAACCCAACCACCAGGTGTGCTCCTTGTACACTCCTGTCTGCCTAGCTTGCCGTCTCACACTTTTCCTCCTCCCCCTTCCACACCTCCATTCCCATGTCACAGATTCTCTCACCCAAGAGCAGGGTCATCCCAAGAGTTCAGTTCACAGGCTTTCAAAACAAAGGAGGGAACAGAGTGAAAACTCTTGTTCAGATACTTCAGCTGCTCTTCAAACACTTCTGCTTCCCTGTCCCTAGCAAGGTTCAGCCTTACTTTGTGCTAAATTCACACACCTCAGGCCCAGGAGCAGCTGCAAATGCTGCAGTGGAGTCAGGGATGAACTGAGAGCTCAGAACACCCACATCCAGCCAGATCCCCCTGCTGAGGAGCAGCCACTAAATCAGGCTGCAGATTCAGGGACAGCCCTCCAGATGGGTTTGGTGGCTGCACTGGCCACACACAATAGCAGGACTGAGCTTCCAACATTCCAGCAAGGAGCCACAGGGCACACACACACACAATACCTGAGCTCTCCGTGTCCGCAGGCAGGAACCCCTGCTTTAGGAGCTGCTGCTTGAGCTCACTACTCTCCACAGGGACTTCTGACACCATGTTGCATGGAATGTATCCCTCCCTTCCAGCACATTCCCCCCTGTAAAAACCATCAGCATCCTTGTCTCCACAAACCTGCAAAGGGAAATAGACTGTTTATGCTGCAGGGACTGACCTGCACAGAGAAAGAATCATGGAATACTCTGAGTTGGAAGGGACCCACAAGGATCATCCATCCAGTCCAGCCCCTGTCCCTGCACAGACACCCCAACAATCCCCCACCCTGTGCATCCCTGGGAGCAGAGGCCAAATGCTTCTGGAGCTCTGGCAGCCTCGGGGCCCTGCCCATTCCCTGGGGAGCCTGGGCAGTGCCCAGCACCCTCTGGGAGAAGAACCTTTCCCTGATATCCAACCTAACCCTGCCTGACACAGCTCCAGCCATTCCATAATGTAACCAGAGAGAAGATATGATCATCTGCCCCTCTACTTCCCTCATGAGGAAACTGCAGACTTCCCAAAGTTTATGCTCCCCTGGAACACCAGACAGATCCATAGAGTAGGAGATGTTCACTAAGTTCTTACTTTCAGGATCTGCCCCTCCTTAAATGGGAGCTCCTCTTCTGCTGCATCAGGGTTAGGAGACATGGAGACAGGATCGTAGTCAAAGAGAGCCACAAAGATCCGAATGTCATCATCTTTGCCAGAGCTCTCGGGGGCAGTGCTCCTTGGAAAGCCTGTGCACAGGGGGAACAGCAGAGAGAACATCAGCCCTGCCCAGCACTGCATGGCTCAGGCACTGCCTGCCAGCCTCTCCCCAGCCATTTCCAGAAGCTTCCATCTCTCCTGCTGCCCACCTCTCTTCCTGTTCCTGCTCACCTGGACTAGAGAGCAAAGGTTTCTGCATCTGGCTTCTTCTTTCGCTCCTGTTCCGTCTCCTGCTAGGAGCCTGCCAGGCGGCTGTGCCAGGTGGCTCTGGGCCCCTGGAATCTTTATGACTGGATGCCTGCAATTGAATCACCAGAGAATTAGTAGCAGCCTCTGCCTTCCAACTCCCTGAACAGCGCTCAGCCCAAACGCACTCCACAAAGAGCAGTGCATCCAAATGCAACATTCCTCTTCAGGAACACTCTAGAGCTGGAAAGACCAAGGGAGGTGGAAAACAGAACTGAGGACAGGCAGGCACTCTGCCAGGCACCAGTGACGATCCCCTTGGTCAGGGTGAAGATGCAGGAAATGGCATTTCAAGGGGAGGCAATGACATTACAGTCAGCATCTACACAAAGCTTTCACCAATCAGCTTATTGCACCAGGGATTTTTGCTTGGGTCCCACAGCCTCCTGCCGTGAGGAGGAAGACACAGTGTGAAAAGGAATACTGCATCGGTGACACTTGGTCAGGGAGCAGGAAAAGCAGAAGCAGCTACTACAAGAAAAGCCATGGAGCAGCACAGAACTACAGAATCTCTCAGATATTCTTCCAGACAATCCTAGAGGAGGGTCCTTTCTCTGGACAACACTGAACAAAGCAAGATACAGGCAGGCCAGGGAAGCAGAGGGAAGCCAGCACCACTGCAAGCTGCTTCAAAGCCAGAATAGGAAAAGTCACCCAACCCTTTTGTGCAAGGAGGTGCTACGTATCCCCTTCGAAGAATGTTCGAGCCTCCTTCTCCAGCCAGGTGACTTACAGTCCAGCTCCCAGCCCTGCTCCTCAGAACTGCTCTCACACCTTGGGTCTTCCTTCTCCCGGCAGAAGAATCGCAGGTGCCGGCTCCGAGACCCAGCCCACTCCATGCCCTGCTCTTCTATCATCTCCAGCCTGGTCAGGTCCCTTCTGCCACCCAGGTGGGCAACCTCAGACTGACTGGAGCAATCACTCCAGTCCCCCTGGCAGCTCTGGGACCTCTCTGGCCACAGCCGGCTCTCCAGGGAGGATGCGCAGGTTGAATCCTGATCATCTTCGGAGTCATACTCGATGTCTATTTCCAGGCTCCTGGGGGTGGGGCAGTGCGTTGCTATCACAGCTGGTTCTGCCTCCCCCGATCCCACTGCTCTTGAGGCTTTTTTCCGTAAGGTGCCTTGTCTGGCCCGGCTGTACAAATCCAACCCCTCCTTCCCACCAGCACTGCTGACAACATTCAGCTCCTCCCTGAGACTGGGAGCTCTGTATAACCCACTCCCCATCTGGCTGCAGTTGCCCAGCAGACGACTGCAGTGCTCTGTTAGATCACTCTGTCTCTTCCTACTTATCTCAGGCCGACTCCGCATCTTCTCTCGATAATTATTTCCCTTCTTCTTGCTCCAAGGACTTGGTCCACTCCCAGACTTTGGATCATTCTCCTGATAGCCCCAGTTCCAGTGTGCCTTCTTTTGACTGCAAGACAGCTGGCCAAAGGCAGGATTTGCACAGCCAGCCTCCGCTCTGCTCTCCTTAGCACCGTGCTCCCCCTGCGGAGTCTGAGCAGGGACATCCATGGAGGTGTTATTCCCATCTTCCTTTAGAAATGGCTCCTTGCTGTTGGGTGGTTTCTCTGTTCTTCCTGAATGGTAGGTTTGTGTTTCCAGGGAGTCTTGAGGGTCTGTCTTCTCTTCTGTAACACCCTTCTCATCCTCGTCTTCATCTTCATCCTCAGTCACTTCAGGGATGCTGAACAGTTTCTTGCTGTGATTCTTCTGAAGTGGAAGCTCCAGGATCCTCTCCAGAATCTCCTCATCGCTGTCAGTATCACAAAGATCCATCTGTACCCAGACCCCGAGAAAAGCCACAGCCAGGACAAGCAAAGGAAAAAAGAGAGGAAATAAACATTAAAACAAGAGGCAAAGTGACCCTGATTCCCTCCCAGCAGAGCAGGATGGAGCTGTGGCTGCAGCAAAGCAAGGGGAAGGGGCAGAGGGAGCGATGGATCTTCTGGCAAAAGCAATCGGATGAACCAGCAATGCGGCAGGAAGCGAGGAAGGCAAATGCATGGAAGAGCTCCCTCCCAGCCTCTCCTGTACACACACAGCTACCTGCAGCACCTCTCATCCTACCACAGCAATGACAGCCCACAACTTGGCGCCCTTGGGGTGGGATGGGGCAGGAGAGGCACGGTCCTCCCACAGCAGAGCTGAGTGGGCTCTTCTGTCCACAGGGCTCACCCACAGAGCCATGGGTCCCTCTTAGCTATGTCCTCTCCCTGGAGCACGGGGAATGGCCCCTTGGAGATGTTGCTGCCTGGGCCCTTCCCATCTCCTAGCAAAGTGCAGCCCTACTGCAGGTTCCTGTCTGCAAATCCAGGAGCAGAGTTCCCACAAAAACAAAGGAAAACCCTTTACCTCAAAGGACCACACAGACATGAGTTTCACTTGCAGATGGGTGAGAGCCTACCAGGTTACAGAAAATTTTGGGGACAACACTGCTGAATTTTAAAATTTTTTGTGGACCAGCTGTAAAATTTACAGGTTTATTTCTTATCACATTAACAGTAACATAAAAGGTAAAATCCCCAAGTGCATAGTGTCATTTTGGTAGGAAGATACCTCTGAAGGGTTCTTGTTCAACTTCCCTGACAAGTTATTTCATTAATGTGTTCTGAAGGCACTTAAAAACAGATTGCAAAGCATGTGTAACTACTGATGTTTTAAACTACAGCCATATGCAGGTCCGTTCAGAGACAATTAAAAACTGAACCAGAGTGGGTGAGAAACAAAGGCAGTTGCAAGCTGTCTACTGATAATTCCAACCTCTGTATTTTTTCCAAGCAAAACTTGGTCTTGAGTTATATTTAGAATTGGTTGAGGGGACCTCCAGAGATCTGCAGTTCAGTCTCCTAATTATAGCAGGACTGTTGTCAACAGTAAATCCACGTCTTTGCTTAGAGGAGGTTTGAAAACACCAAAGAATGGAGATCCTGAACCCTCTGGTGACCAGTCCCAAGGCTGCACTGCCCTCCTGGGTAAGAGGTTTGAACACATCTCCAACATGAGCATCCCAAACAGCAGCTCATGATTTCTGTCTGTTTTAATGTATAAGCACCCAGAAACGAGACTACTTTGGCTCTCATCCTTTTAACCATCATGCAAATAGGCAGTTACAAAATCTCCCACTCAACTCCTCCAGACCCCTCAATTTTCTCAAACCCTCCTAACAGAACACATGCTCATGGCTCCTGCCTTGTTAGCGCCAATTAGGAATATGGAGAATTCATAAAAACAAACAAACAAAAAAAACCAGTTCAGTAAGATTTCTTATAGCTGTTTGCAAAGTTGTGGCTTCTGCTTTTGAGTTTTAATATAATAAATGGTTTCAAACAACTTGTTTGAGGATAAACATCTTAAAAGCACTACCCCTCCATGTTTTCATCTTCTGGATCCTGGAAGAAGTGGCTGAGGAGTCTTGAGGTAACAGAAAATGCAGTTAAATATGCAGAATCCTAGAAAACAGCCCTATTCCTGTCACATCCCCTTCAATCCATAAAGCAGTAATGGAAGGTCTGTGCCCTTAAGCTTCCTGTCCTTCACATCTTCTCCCAATTCAGCATCTTGTCACCCTCACTCTGTTACTGCCAGCACAAAAAACAATCACTTTATCCAATCAAGAAGCACCAGTTTGTTCAGCTCAACAGGACATGAGCAGGGTTTTGATGTTTCTTTTCAGGAAAAAAACCCAACCAAATAAAAACATTAAGGCAAATAAAACATCCAGGAAAAAAAAATAGTGTTCTTGATTGCTCTTATTTCCTTCTTTCTCTTTCCAGGAAACTTGTTTTTCTTCCATTTTTTCCCAGTCCAATCCCAACAACTGGAAGCCCTTCTAAAAACCTTCAGAGGCAGCCCCAGCCCTTCCAGCCACGAGGCTCTTCTGGGGCTCCTGATGTGCTGCACTGCAGGTTCAACCCCTCACCTGGGAAGAAGAAGACCCTTTAGAAGGAGAAAAGGAAATTTACTCCAGAGTCGCCACATTGTCTGCTACCATTTAGTGCTCACCAGCCCCATCCCTGCAGACCAGCTGCCACACAGGGCACCATCAACTAAAGATGTTCTTTTGTCATGTGAAAAATTAAACAGAAGGTGCTTTCTTGCCATCCAGGCACATCACATTTCCTGCAAAGCTTTTTAATTTTTCAGTCTCTCACCCTCAGTGCTTTCCCTGATGGACATTCATCCCAACTGCTGTAATCTGTATGGTTACACATCAGTTCCTGGCCATGCAGTTGAAATCACATTCCCACAGGTGCATTCAGACTAGATTTAATTCTTGGAGCATGAATTAAGCTGGTCACTTACAGCTCAGCTCAGGCAGGATTTCATCCCTTGCAGCATTTGAACTACAAAGCCACAACTCTGCTCCTACCTGCCAATACCTGGCAACAGAAAGCATCAAGGCCTAAGCCAAATAATCATAGAATCAGGAAATACCTTGAGCTGGAAGGGACCCACAAGGCTTGAGGCCAATTCCTTGCCCTGCACAGGACACCCCAAAAATCAACCCTGTGCCTAACAGCGTTGACTGTTCCCTGTTTATTGTCTGTGTTAAGAACTCAATCACCCCCCACTGATTTTAAACATTACATCACACTGTGTGTTTTTCCAAAAATTAAACCCTGGCTCTATTTATTACAAACAAACACCCTTCCTTCTCCCAAAGAACTTGTGTTCTACTACCTCGAGCCAGCACTGGGAGTAAAAGCAGAGCAGCAGGATCTTGGGAAAGGCTCAGCCCAGCTTGTCCTCCTGTGAGTTGATGGCATGGGATGGCTGCACTGGCGCTCCCCACAAGCAGCACTCAGAACAAGTTACCTTTTCCCCATTCTCCTGGGAACATGGCTCTCTCTGGTCCCACTTCTCTTCCAGAGCTTCTGAAGACAGCTCATCTTCTTCCTCCTCTTCCAAAATATCTGAAAGGTCAGAACTCCGGTTGTGCTCCGTGAAAAGGGTCAACTGTCGGCGGCCCATTTCTGACAGCTTTTCTTCTTGCTGTTGAAAAGCAAAACACATTTTCTCAGTTCTCCCAGACTCTATTCTAGCAACAAAGGAGCATTTTTCCTTTCTCTGAGCACATACACAGCTCAGGTGTGGCAGGAAAGGAAGCGGGCAGCACCCAAGGGAGTGACTGGCACATGTGGACACACACAACCATCAGCCTCACTTCACAGCCTGCAGAACAGCACTGTCTAAGGCTGGAAAACTCAGGAGGTCAAGTACAGTTCACATCCCTCCATGGGCACACACATTCAGCCAAGGTTAAACAAACCTCTCTTTTCACTCTGGACATTTCTTTCATCACCTCCTTGCCAGGAGACAACCTCAGGAAGTCCTGGCAGCTGCTCCCGCTCGTGTTTCCATCTTGGGAGGTGTCCTGCATCCCCCGTGCCTGGCTGGGGGAGGACGGAGGCTGTGGGCCCAGGTGCTTCTCTGCCTCTCTCTCCATGTCAGCACTGGGACCTTTGGGTGCCTCCTCCACAGAGCACACGTGGCAGGTTTCTGTTTGGAGCTTCACCCCGCTGTCTGTCGGGCTTCCCAGCTCTGGTGCTTTGGTTCTTGGTTGCTCCATCTGAGAAACAAACCAACAGTGAAATCAAGGGGAAGTGTGTCAGACTACTTATGCACCAAAATGGAGTCTTATCACCCCAAACTCTTTGACCCTCTGATGTCTTACTTGCTCTAGGCATGTAAGTATTTTGGCAGGCACCTTGCAGCTGGCAATATTGGCCAGCCCTGGAACAAACCCCTCCCTGTCCTCAGGTCCCAGGAGACACACAGTGCCCCCAGTGCTGCAGCTCAGCAAAGGCCCACAAGGGCCTTTGCAGTAACAAGTTTTAGGGCTGCAAGAAGAGCCCAAGCTATACAACAAGTTCATTTCCCACTGTCATCTGCCAGAGGAATGGTCTAGACATCACCCAGCATGTTGGGTTGAGCTGGAGATGAGGACACTACTCCAGGATTTCCTGGGGTGTGAAGAAAAGGAGAATTAATGAAGAATAATAAACAGAGAGTGCAACAAGCTCCTGATTAGACCACCTAGTGAGAATTAGAGAAAATCTTCATCTGTATTCCAACCAGTCCAAGAAAACCTCTGGGAGACGGAGGAATGGAGCTCCAGAAACAAGAAGGGTAAGGCAGGTGGGCCTTCATCAACTACCTCTTTCTCTTACTCTAACCAAGGGAGCCCTGCCTGCATTTTGCAATGGAGCATAACCTTGGCCTTATGTACCAGGCACACTTTGAAAACACTGAGGGATCAGACCCCAGGGACACTGAGACAATGCAGTGTCAAGGTTCTCAACGTCCCCTGGACAAAAGCCAGGCAGGTCCTGATCTCATGTCTAATTTCACAGCTCAGATTGCCCTGATTCCCTTTGCTGACAGCCAAGTGAAGAGACACACCGCAAGTGAGAAGGATGATTTTCACCCTGGGAGCACTCGTTTCATTCCTCTCCACAAAGGAGGCAAAGCAACCACCACAAGTGCAGCCATCTACACCAGACACCTGAATGTCTGGAGGCAATAATGCTGGAAACAGGTGAAGTACAGTAAGAGGCTCACAGAAAAACAAGGAAAGCTGGGCTGGAACTGAATCCACCAGCTGAGACATCATTCTCACAGAAACCTCCTGGCACACCACAAACATCTGAAGCTGGAAGAAATCCACCATGACACTCCTCATCCCTGAAGTGTTCAAGGCCAAGCTGGATGAGGCTTGGAGCAGCCTGGCCTAGTGGAAAGTGCCCCTCTCACGCACCAAATGATCTTTAATGTGCCTCCAAACCCCAACCATTCCCTGATTCTATGAAATGTGGGTAAATTAATCCAGCAGCTGACCCAAGGTACTGTGAGCTGCAAATGACCAGGTGCTGACCACTGAAATTTTGGACTCAACCTCTCAGTTCTTCCGGGTACTGAGCTGGCCTTTGGGCTTGGGCCCGCCATGCTGCTGTTGCTTCAGCAATTTTCAGAAGTCTCAGCCTAACTCTGACCCTTCACAAGGTCACACCGTCATGACTAATAAAGTTGTGCTGAACTTAACATTTTGAAGCACTCCTATGAGTTCTGATGTCAAGTCAGAATGGGAAATAGATCTTTTCCCGGATGTAATACATCCCACAACAGGAGGGCCCACTTCCCCATTGTCACAGAACAATCATTCACCATCATTATATGGCTCTCAGACATCCTCACAACTGTTCTAAAAGAACTCTGAAAGCACTCACCCACCCTACTGGGAATACCACTGGAAATCTCTCTCACCCATAGGGAACTCTAAATAGCCAGTGTCAGAACAGTTTTCCAGTTCTGCAGCCATGGCTGCCTTGCTCTGCCACTCACTAAGGTGCTCTACCACTGTCTTGTACAAACCCACCAGACTGGAGAAGATCCCTTCAAGACAGAGAGCACAGCAATGGCAGACTAACATGGGAACATCCTTTTAACCTTTTAACTCTGCAAATTCTTCCTTTCCTCATTCTGTTCTTCATCTGCTAGCAAAAAGAATCAAGAGGTGAGCTGCATCTTCCAGGTACACACCAGCAGCCAAAATTCCCTGACGGTTTGCCACTGCTGGATGATGGCCCAGAGGCAACACTTTATCACAGAAAGGTGCTCAATGGCATCTCTTCCCATTCCAAAAAGGATCCATTGCCCTTCCCTGCACACCTGGCACTGGACAGGAGATGTAAGCACTTACCTGCACTTGTGTCCCCTCACCCGGTTGCATTCCCTGTTTCTGGGAAGGCCCAGGCTCCATGCCCTGCCCTGGGAGCACTGTGCCAGCCTGCTGGGGAGGCACACTCAGGCATTTCTTGTCTCCTTCAGTGTCCAACCCCTGTGGGGAAGTGCCTGGAGCCTGCACCAAGGAAGCACTAGGAGAGGGGAGGTGTGGTGGGGAAGAGACTTTTTCTGTCAGAGGCTGTGCTGAGCCAACAGGGCTGGAGGAGAAATCAGTCAATTTGGCATCTGAGCTCTCAGCAGGAATTTTCTGTTGGAGCGGGAGCGTGTGCTGTGGGCTGCGGGTAGGCAGCAAGGCCCTGGGGCCCCCCCGGGGCACTCTGGAGGGGACAGTGGTGCACACAGGGGAAGTGCAGTGGGAGGACTGCAGCAGGACCGAGGAAATCTGGGCTGGAACTGAATCCATGGACTCCCCGTACTGAGACATCGTCCTCACAGAAACCTCACGGCACACCTGGAACATCTGAAGCTGGGACAAGTCCACCAGGACACTCCCAGCAGTTGGAGAAGTAACTTCTATCACCTGAAAGCAAAAGAACAGGAAGGAATTATTTATTGCGCACAGCTCAGCCCTTCAATTCCCAACCCAAAGTTCAGATAGAACCCAAAGCTCTGGAGAGCATCTGTGCAGAATTCCCACCCTTCTGCACACTATCAGGGAAGAATCAACATTAAAGAGAAATATGAGAAACTGAACAGTCTACAAAATATGAATATATTCACTCCTACTCCAGATTTTAACCCTCCTTGTTTCCTAAGCCTTAAAGAGCTTTTCCATTTAGGCCACTTTTTCAACTACCTTCCTCCTTTTTTTCACCTGTGAAGAGGTGAAAAGCATTTCCACAACAAAAAGAGCAATTATCCAACACAGCATCATTCTGTTTTGCACTGTGCTCCTCAAACAACATCATATGTGCACAAGACCACAGGACATTTTCCATACAGAATGTCTGGTTTGAATGTTCCGTGTCAGTAACAGTACTGAACAAACAGAACCCTGGGGTGTTTGTATGTTAAAATGACGGAATGGTTTGGGTTGGAAGGGACCTTAAAAACCATCTCATTCCAGCCCCGCCACAGGCAGGGACACCTTCTACTTGGAGCACCCGGGTTGCTCCAAGCCCCATCCAACCTGGCCTTGGACACTGCCAGAGCTGAGGCAGCCAAAGCTTCTCTGGACAATATGTGCCTGGGCCTCATTACCCTCACAGGGAACCATTTCTTCCCAGTATCCCACCTAACCCTGACTTCTGGCTGTGGGAAGCCATTCCCTGTGTCCTGTCCCTCCATCCCTTGCCCCCAGGCCCTCTCCAGCTCTCCTGAAGCCCCTTTAGGCCCTGGAACAAGCTCTAAGATCCCCCTGGAGCCTTCTCTTCTCCAGGTGAACACCCTCAGCTCTCTCAGCCTGGCTCCAGAGCAGAGGGGCTCCAGCCCTTGAAGCATCTCCATGGACTCCTCAGCTCTAGCAGCTCCACATCCCTGTGATGTTGGGGACGCCAGAACTGGAGGCAGCTCTGCAAGTGGGGTCTCACCTAAGCATGGCAGAGGGGCAGATTCCCCCCCTACTCTTCTGCCCACACTATGGGGATGCCAACTTCATGCTGGATCACTACACCTCGCACTCGAGAGAAAGCCTTGGTGGTGGCTGTGTACTTGTCTTTGTGCTCTGTCCACACCCTGGGTACTAATTGCCTGGGCTGAGGAGGCTGTTTTGCTGCTGGAGGGTCCTGCTTCAGAAGCACCTCCAAAATCTGGATAGATGTCTTTTGTAGTGTGCATCACACAGCCCATGCAATGTCCCTTCTCTGATGTCGCTTCTTTCCAGGCCAAGGACTGTCACTGCCACTTCAGGACAGCTTTCCTTGTCTTAAGGTCTGACACTTCATGCTCCCCCTGCAGCAGCCCCAGCCCCCTGCACAGCCAGTACCTTCTGTCCATCCGCATACACGGCATATCCAGTGACCCGCACCCCGTTGGAAGATCCCTCAGCATCGATGGTCACAGGTAACCAGCTGATAACCAGGATACCTGGAGAGGGACCAGCTTCTACCTGGACATCCAAAGGAGCATCAGGTGTGCCTGTGAGAGACCAAACACAATTTCCTCTTGCTTACCTGGCTACAGCATAAAGCTCAACCCTGGTTAGAACCAAAGAGCAAATTCCCAACCAGACTTTTCCCTGCAGAACTGAACAACAGCCAGGCCAGTACTGGGAAATGTCAGACAGAACCAGAGAAAATAAGGTGCTCTTGTTCTGTGAAAGCTTTAATGCACAGAAAGCAGAACTTTGCAGAAGTAGCTGAGGCCAAGATGCAGCAATCCTTGGAGCAAAGTCATGGTAAACCATCTCTTTCCTGCCCAACCAGCTGCTCCAACCAGCACAGAGGATGTCTTCTCAAAGCAAATGAAAGCAAAAGGGCTAATCAAATTTTAAAATAAAGTAAGAAAATCATTAAGACAAAACAGTGCAGCACTTCAGGCTTTGGGGACCTAGTCAACCTTGCTTCCCTTTGCCCTATGGCTTCCCAGCAAAGAGCCAGCTAAGCACAGCCTCTCCATGTGCAGAGGCCTGCAGTACCTGCTAGAGGGGTAGTGAAGTGTATCACAGCTGAGTCCTGCTCCTGCCCCTTGGGCACCTCTTCCCAAGGAGTTTTCATGGGCCGGGCCTCCAGCTTGGCCACATACTGCGTGCTGGGCTGCAGGTTGCGGAAGGTGTACCAGTACACGCCCGGCTTGGTCACATCACACTCCTGCCCATTGAGATACACCCCATGGCTGTAGTTGCTGTTGCAGGGAAGCCACGTGACCTCTGCTGATGTGGCCGTGACGCTTCTGACTTTCAGCATCGTTGGTGCCATGCCAAAATCCTGCCCCACAAAGAAAGTGCAGCGCAGTTTGTCAGAGCTACCGTGCTCCGTCACCGTCTGCACGGACACGCGGTAAGCCCTGCTGTGTAAATCCAGCTTTTCTATCACTGCTTTGGTCTGAAGGCCACTCTTCACGTTCTGACGTAGCTCTTCATCCACATAGATGTTGTAGCTTTGTATGTCTGGGCAGCCAGCTGGCAAAAGAGGTGGTTCCCAGCCTACAACTATGCTTCTGGCAAGCTGCTTGATAAGAGTCAGTTTTCTTGGGTAAGGCACTGCTGTGTGACTAACAGGTTCCTCCTGGTCTCCTTCTGCTCTGCTGGCCAACGGACTGATGCTAGTCTCTTCAATGGAAAACTCACTCTTATCTCCACTGCTGGTGCTTGCACTGACCAAACTTTTCTCCTGGTATGAGCTATGGGTGAGATCATTCAGCTCCGGAGGCAGAAACATCATGAGGTCATCATCTGAAACTCGCTCAACAAAATTGGAGGGGACCAGCCCTCGCCGGCCATCCATCAGCTCCCCTAAACGAAAAACAGGACACCTGTTACCACTACTCCTGCCATTGAGCCTTCCAACTCAGCTGCCAGGACTATGGGACAACATCTTTGCCAGGGCACAACTGCTCTGCAGTCAGGAGTGGAAAAGATCTCAGGGAGGTTATTGCTGGCAATGTTTCCTGATTTCCTAGGCCTTCCCTTGTTAGGTCCCAAAGGACACATTCACACATTTCAAAGCCAACTAAGTAGAAAGTTGGGTTGTATAACTAGCTAAAGGTTTTCTCCTTCTTCATTATCCCATTCTTCCTCATCACAGCTCTTTCATTAACTTTTTTGGCCTTCCCAAACTACACAGCTGGATGATTTTACATCTTCTCCCAGCCATACAGATTTGGGGTTTGCAGTACTTCCTCAAAAAAGTCCATCTTCCCAGCTCTGCATTTAGCTCTGGCCTTCCTTTTAGCTCCCTTCTTTCTTAACTCCTGTACTAAAGGTGTCCCAAAAAGACTTGTGGGGACAACAGATACACAGCACTTGGTCTGTGCAGACCCATCAAACCACGGATGAGCAGCACACAGGGACTGCACTGCCTTCTCCCTTCCAAACTCTATCTACAGCAAATCAACTGAAAGCAGGGAAAGCAGAAAAGGTTAGTAAAGAATAGTATTTTTAAACAATAAACAAACAAATAAATTATAAGCTTAGGAACAGAAAGAAAGAAAAATGAGGCAGAGCAGTCACAGAGCAAGCAGTGCAACACACATGCATTTGTCTCAGCCCTTGCAAAGCACCTCAGGAAATCAGGAATTTACCACCCCTTAAGCAAATGGCTCCACAAAAAAACCTCAGCACAAATTTACAGCCCACAAATCTTGCTTTCGATTCCATCCACCTTTTAGTCAACCAGGCTCATGTTTGCAAAGGGACCAAAACAGCAACACTGCATGACACCAGCAAGGGTCACAACTGTAGTCTGGGTTGATTATTGTATCCCCTCTTTGCCAAAGAGCACAAGGCAATCTGCTGCATTCCCTGGCTCATTACAGGCACTGGAAAGAGGGAAACAGCCCATCTGCAAAAGGGGCTGAACTTGTTCTTCTCCATGGTGGGGGAGGAACCATATGGGAGTTGAAACCACTGGGGATGAAACCTAGAACTTGCTGAAAGCAGTAGCAAATTTCCACTGAAATCACTAGACAAGGATTTCATAGCTTAGATTATTTTTTCCATAACGTAAGTAAAGCCATTTCCAACAGGATCTGCTCATCCTTCTAACAAACTAACTTTGGGCAGAAACCCTTTACCTTGAGGGTAAATTTCTCTCTCATTTTCTGGAGAGAAATCAACTCACCACAGCAGTTCAGTCACATTCATTTTACTAAAACACACCTTCAAAGAAGCCATCTTCATCCATGTCTCCATAGATGTAAATATATTCTCCAGCAGTCAGTGGAAGTTCTGCCTCTGGATTTTCATTAGGTCCATCAAAAGGATTGTAGCTGAAATATTTACAATTGGAAGACTTAATTTGCATAGGAATCTTCCCAGCAACATAGTACAGCTGTGATGCTAATAAGCTTTCAATTCACTGCGAATGCATCCACTTTGGCAAGCAGCAAATTCCATAGACAAAGGTCAAGACTGTAGTCTACATATAAAAATATTTCATAATAGATAATTTCTGAGGAGCAGAACAGATGTCTTGTGACATCCAAAGGAATAGGGATATAAGGATGCTGAAGGGACTGGAGCACCTCTCTGAGGACAGGCTGAGCAAGCTGGGCCTATTTAGCCTGGAGGAAATTCAACAGAAAGGGGATTTTATCAATGCACAGGTATATTTAGGGTGGGTGTCAAGAGGAGGAGGCCAGATGCTTTCTACTGGTGTCCAGTAAGAGGACAAGGGGCAGTGGGCACAAACAAACAGGAAATTCCACCAGAACCTGAGGAAAAACTTCTTAGAGGTTGAGCAAACACTGGAAAAGGCTGTACAGAGAGGTTGTAGTGTCTCCTCCTGCTCAAACCCTGCATTTTAAACAGCACTCCAAAAACTTCACCAACAAGAATATTAGAAATACATTGGTGATATGGCTTGGACTCCAGGCAGTTCTAACCTGCCTGCCCAGGGATACTCAAACTAATCAGAGGGTCTCCTTTCACAGGAAAATGCCTCACGAAAAACCTTTAACTTTACAAACACCTACTGCCAATTCCTGCTCTTTACCACTTAAAAGGAATTTCATTGTGCCAAAGCAATGTTTGCCTCTCTGTGATCTGACTGAGACCTTATGGGTCCCAGACTGACATGAAGACACAGACCACATCTGATGTGCTCCTCACAAGCACAGAATCATCCCTGTTCTCTTCCTCCCAATTCCCAATACAAAAGCTGAAGGACAGGTAAGACACTGAGCTGTAGCAACTTGGGCTTCACCATGATGGCTCAGTGAATGGCAACAGTTATCAAAAACATCTGGGTTTATTCTGTGGGTGTTTTTCTGGGGTTTGTTTTTTTTATTTTTGGTCCTTTAAAAATTACAGCCAGAAGCATTTTGGCCAAAAATTTCAGAATTCTAAGCTGACATTTTCTTAATCGTTGGAATAAGATTTCTTGGAGAAAACTTCTTGCACTATTCTGAAAAAAAAAATAGACAATTCAATTAGCATGTCAGTTTGAACTAATTTTCACCAGAGACCAATATTTAAAGTTTCACACAGTGCTGTTCACTAACAGCTACTGAGCTTAATGTGCTTTTGTTGAGCTAAGCCTGGACTGTGCAGGAAGTAAGAGGTCTCAAATCATTCAATCATGGAATGGTTTGAGTTGGAAGGCACCCTAAAGCTCACCTCATTCCACCCCCTGCCATGGCAGGAACACTTACTACTGTCCCAGGCTGCTCTAACCCCACCCAACCTGGCCTTGGACACTTCCAGAATTCCAGGGGCAGCCATGGCTGCTCCAGGCACCCTGTGCCATGACCCTCACAGGGAACAATTCCTTGCCAATATCCTATCCTTCCCTGCCCTCTGGCAGTGGGAAGCCATTCCCTTGTCCTGTCACTCCAGGTATTTATCCCCAGTTCCTCTCCAGCTCCCCTGGAGCTCCTTTAGGCACTGGAAAGAGCTCTAATGTCTCCCCAGAGCCTTCCCATCGTCAGGCTAGACACTCCCAGCTTTCCCAGTATGAAAATCCCACAGAGAAGAAAGATAATAGGTCCAACCTATTATTATCCACTCCTAACAGTGGTAAATACTAGAGAAGATTGTGAAGTAGGCAGCTGTGGATAACGTGTGTAACTTCACAGAGCACAAGCAATGAGCACTCAGTACCTGTATCGAGCTAAGAACACCTGGAGCTTTGCAGGGCCTTGGCTGCCTGGCTCTGGCATGAGGGAGATGCTGTCAACATCCAGTTCTTCCATTTCACTTGCAGTGTCCACCTAGAGATGTTAAAGATAAGGAGTAAAAGAATATTCAGAGTGTTTGTACATAGTGAACACATCCTCTAAACTCATGGCTGGTGTCAGTCTGGCTCCTGGGCTAAGGACCATCTCTAAGAATGACTTTTTAGGTGAGGAAGTAGTAGTAAGAGGCAACAGCCTCAGGTTGGAGCTTCAGAGCTTCCAGCCAGACATCAGCAAAAACTCCTTGTCCAGGTGGGTGATACAGCCTTGGGAACAGTTCTCAGAGCTGGGGGGATCTCCATTCTTGAAGAACCTGTAGCCTGAGTTCAGCAAAGCCATGGCCACACTGATTTAAAGCTGGTGACAGTCCCACTGGGGCAGGAGATTTGACTGGTGGCTCTGGAAACCTCTTCTACCCCACACATCCACAATCCAGTATGCTGGTTTCTTGCTACCTCTAAATGGTAGCTGTGCCTGTATGCAACACAAATGTCAACCTGAACAAAGGAGCTCTGTTGGATGTTGGGGTCTTCACCTGCTTCTGTCCTCTCCAACAAAATTTTCTGTAGGATGTCTATGTATTTTAGATAGAGCTTTGACTGGAACTTCTGGTTTTAGCTGGCTCTGCTAACAGCACATGCTGAATGAAAGTCAGGGCAGGAAGCCCCCATTCCTGTCACAACCTCTCCCTTTCTAGCCAGCAGCTCCTTCTGCACTTCCTAAGCTGAAGGCTGCACCTTCAGGGCATTTGGTGCCTACTGGCAAAGCACCTTTGAGAAATTTCTCTCAGCTGTTTTGATGCCAGTGAAATGTTGGGATTTTACATCCAGTGGCAATGGATTGTGTAAGGCAACCCTTCTTCTTGAGGCAATGCACTCCCTGGGGTTTGTCTGAACTTGTGCCAATGAACCAATTCAAGATGCCTTGTTAAACAGACCTCAAGTTTGATGAAGACCCATTGCAAACACCAGAACACAAAGTATTTTTTTTAATATGTGAAGAGCCAATCTTGGGAAGAGTTCAGAGCATCTTTTCAAGGTGCTACAGTTCTTGCAATACAATCCTACCCCATTTATGTCCTTGGAGAACAAAAATCTGTAACACCCAAACAAAGGGGCTTAGCCTGTAATGTTCCCACAGTTATGTGCTGTGGAAGCCAAACACCCCAGCCAATGGCTCTTTTCCAAGGGTCCCACACTGATCTCTGCAGGCATCTATCTCACCAGGGAGGCAGGGTGGCTTCCAAGCTTTTTCCTGAACTAAAAAGTAGGCTTTTTTCCTGCTATAGAATTGCTAACAGTTCCATACCTGTTCCTTCCCAGGTGTGACCTTCACTTTCTCTCTGAACATGGCACTTCCATGAGCTCTTACACAGTGGGAGGCTCTGCCTGGCACTGGAGCAGCCCTTTGTGTGACTGTCCTGACCTGGTCACCTCAGCACTTCAGTGGCTTTAGTGCTCAGGAAATCCCAAAAGAGCAAAAGGTGCCCCTCAGGCCACTACACCCAGCCCTGCTCACAGCACTTCTCTGCCCTGAAGTCTGTCCCCTCAAGTGATACATAGAAGAGAGCATCAATCCCTGCTCAAGTGAACCCCACACCACCACAAAAGTGTTCCTAGGGAGAAGAAGCAACAACCATTGAGGACATCTTGGTGACACAAACACGTGAAGCCTGTTAGCTCCATCCCTCTTAGCACAAACTTGGCATCTTCTCATGGTTTCTTTCACCAAGTAATATCTCAGTAATTAAAAACATCACACAAGAAGTTTGAGTTCCTCATTCACAGCTCAAGGCAAAAAATAGTGTGGACACAGTTTCTCCCCATGCTAAAAATTCTAGTTTGTAGCCTTTATGTGTCTTAGTGGCAGCTGAGGTGCCACAAGGAAGCTCAGCAAGAGCTACCTCACACATCCCATCCCACTCCTCCAAGCTCCCAGGTACTGTCTATCCAGTTGTTTCCTTCATGGAACACAGCAATATATTCAAATGAGCATTACAGACATGGCAGCCAAAGTAATTTCAGTATTTTCCTACATTTTCTCTCTTGTCTATTCCATTTTCTTCAGGCAGCCAGAAGGGAATGAATGTAACTTTACTGGCGCTCTCAGCAATGAATTTATTCCCTCTGGCTGGAAAGCACAGGCAGCAGAGGGGACTCCCATACTGACCTCCGGAGTTGGGCAGGATTTTGGGCTGTTCTGCATGGATTCAGATTTTGAAGAGCTGGACTGAGACTCCCCTTTCTTGGATTGTTTCTGAGCGCTGGTGGGAGCAGCTGGGGAGCCCATGGTGGTGTTCGACCCCCGCTGCGACAGCTCCAGCTCGTCACTCCCTTCATTGTGAACCTTCTTTGTGTTCTGATGGGGGAGCAACCCAGGAACAGCTGACTCTGCAATAAAATCAGCTGTCCATTAGTTACAGCCACAGGCAGGACACAGGATGAGCAACGAGCATCCCAGGGAGCAGCCCAAGTCTCTACAAACATGCCTCGTTCAACAGACTGGACACCTGAGCTCTCCCTGGCCACAGAAATGCCAACTTCTCTTTACAAAATGAACCAAAAGTATTTACGATAGGGACAGAAATGCCAAAATTGCACTAAACATTTGCATTAACTCCTTTAGCCCTTTTCATTTACATAAATATCAACCCATTTAGCAAAGCCCTCTCAGGCATGTCCAGCAATTACCCTTCTCCCAGCGGGGCTGCGGGGCCGAGCTGCACAGAGCAAGGGGCAGCTCCGAAGTCACCAGAGTGGAGGTGAGAAGGTCAATTTTTCCTGTTTGAAGCCGGAATTGTTGGAGTTCCTGTGACAGGAGGCTGAATTGCTCTGTTTGACTGCGACACTGCTCTTCCAGATCCTTCACCCTGGCCTGCCAGGAGAGAACAAGGTTAGGAACAAACCCCTGACAAAACACTGAGGCTCCAAACAGGATTTGCCTTTGCTGCATCTTCCCCCAGACTCCAAAGAGCTAAAGGATGCTTTTAAATGCCCTGCCTAGGAACAGTCATTGGAAACTAGCAGCCTCACACCTCTACTTATCTTAGAAAAACTGAGGCTCATCATCTCTGAGGAAGCTGACTACAAACTCCATTAGGACTAATCCCTAAAATTCTGGGTTTGAACTTCAATATCCTCTCTTAGCCCTGCACAAGACCAGATGAGATAGGTCAGAGACAAACAAGCCTTAAAAAGATTCAAAAGGCTTTGGATGGTTTTTTGAGCATTAAAATCATGTCTCCAAAAGGAATTGCTCTCCCAATTTTGTCCATCACTCCAGAGGCCCCAGCAAGCTCCCAAAACCTTAATCTGAGCTCCCCACCATTCCTGGCAGGACTGCCAACTGTCCCTCTGGACCTTGGCACTAGGAAGGGCAGAGAGCACATAGGCCCATGCTGCAGAACTCTCCCTTGACATGGGAAGCACACACACTTTTCCTCCTGGTCCTGCAGGGATGATTTACTCCAGGCAAATGCATGCTGAGGACAAGAAAGCTACACCTCAGCAAGATGAGGTGCCAAGGAGCCTTGGGAAACACTATGGAGAGGGAAAGACACATTCCTGCTAGAGAACCATTTGTATTTTCCCATATTCTCTTTTTACCATCTCTAGAACTTCCCCTTACAAAACACTGCCCCAGGTTGTAGGTAGATCAATTCCCAGGTGGTTGCAACTGCCCCTTTCCCTCCTTTCACTGTTTCTTGTAGGTAAGATGCATGAAAACAGATGACTGCACTGCACTCTTCACAATTTTCCATTCTACCAAATATATCTGAAGTGTTTTTTCTCCTTCCAACTCAAAAAAATAAATGATGCTTTGAAATATTATGTGAGACAGAAAGCCTGAGATTTTAAGCAGCTCTAAAAATAACATTTCTGACCTGGAAAAAGCTCTCTCTGTGGTCTCACAATAACACAAAATCTTTGTAGCCACTCCCTAAAGATTTAGGAGGGTCATGCATTTTTATTTGACTGTGACATATCTGTTTTAGGTATTTCAGTTTATTACTTGTTCCCTCCACAAGTCCAAAGGTGCTCTCAGGCTCTAAGGAAAGCCTGGTGAAGTCTCTTAAGTTTGGCAAGAACTACCTCCGAACTGAACTGAGATGCCAGGACCAACTTCCAGAAGTGTCTGTGTTATCCACTTGCTCAGAGTTAATTCCTTGTTTACTAAGTCACAGTGCACAAGATTCCTCTGCCAATATGAGTGTTTGAATTTACTTACAGTTTGGATTTTTCTCATAAAGACTTCTCCCCTACAACATTATATCTCAACAGAGAAAAGATACCCTAACAGTAAGAACAGTTGCACTGGATCAAAGGAGGGCTTCCTCAAGTCCAACATTCATCCCTGATCACACCTTGGGACAGAGCCTACAACAACAGACAGGTTCAGAATGACTGCAGGACCAGAAGGAGATTTCCTGTCTTCTCTGGAGACATGAGCCAGCAGATGCATCTGGATATTGTGTTTAATAGCATCATAATAGTACCTTGTCCTGTAAATTCATAAACCACAGTTTAAATCTACTTACACTGGCGGCCAAGCCAATAACCCAGATAATTTACAGTTTAATTCTCAGACACCTAATTAGTCAAGTGTTTTTTCACTCTGTTATTCCAAGCAATATACAAACATGCCTTAAGTACTACTGCCACATCATACACAAGGCGTACTTCTAGCAGCTACTTTGTAGGGGACCACAGACAGCTGGGAAGCAGCAGGTTTCCAGGGCAGTGCTGGGAGGCAGGAGGATAAGGAAGATGAGGCCCAAGGACATGGCCAGGAGGTTCAGGGAACCAGCAGGACCCAAGCTCCAGACACAAAGGAGACTTCTGTGTCTGTGCCCAACCCAAAATGGGGAGAAAGAGGAGTCTCCCATAACAGGGACTGAACTTCCAGAAGAGGCTGCAAGAGCAGGAGCAGAGCTTGGTGGGGTCAGTTTAATCACCAACTCAGGAACTGATTCTCCACACCCATCCACTACCACCTCAGCCCCATCCTCTAAGACACCCTCATTCATGGCTGGTCTGTTCCACTCCTACAGCTCGTTCTCTCCTTTCAGATGTCCCTTGCTCCCCTTCTCCATATCTTCTGCTATGTACTTTTCAGATCAGAGAATCTCCATTTTGCTGGAAGGGAATTCTACAGGTGTGCAGTCCAAGCTCTTGCTAAAAGCAGGGCTGATGCCAAAGGAATTAAAGAACATCCATAACTCCACACCAGTGTGGGTGCAACTTCTACAGGATGTGAGCATACTCCAATAAAGTCCTTTCCTGAAAATTCCCACCACTTTGCTGCTTTTTTGACCAACATGTGGCTGACTTTTTTTTAAATTCCCTGCCTCTGACCCTGTACCTCCTGTGCCAGCAGGGAATTCTGAGCCCACCACCGGGCATGTTTAGTCTCTGCTCTCTCTCCTCCACATGTCTTTGCACAGCCAATGCCACCTGCATTTTATCCCCCTATTTCTCCTGAGATCTCTGCCAGCTTGGAAGGTTTTAAAGACGTTTTCTATCAGCTACAAACCCTTGCACTTATATACCAGCCTTCTTTCCAAACATGTGAACAGGTCACCTAGCACAGCTCCCAAGCTGGAACTTCATTAGTTACCACCCTCTTCTGGGAAAACTATTGTCCACAATCTCTGCTTCCCATCTTCCACTCAATTACAAAGCCAGCAGGATCCGTCATCTCCGCAACACTCATCTGCGATGTTGTCACCACTGCTTTTGGGGTTTGAAGGAAACACTTTACTTTTGGACTGCAAAGACACTTAAATGTGGAGAAGGAGCACAGTTGGAAAATTCTAAAAATCTGGAAGTGCCAAAAAAAGTAAGCTCCTAATTCTAATTGGTCAAGAAAGCAAGGCACTTAAAGACAAATGCAGCTGCTCCATCAAACTCATAGTAGGAGCTCCCTTAATCACACTTATTTCTTGGCAGTAACACTCTTGCAATCTTTTCCAGAGTATATTAAAACAAGAATATCAAGCAACTGTCAAAGTCAGAACAGAAGGAAAAACATCCTGTTTGACAGCATTAGAGCAGTACCTGCATGCAATCCAAAGTACTCTGGGAGCAAGAAAAAAAGCAAAAAGAGATATCAAACCACATCAGCAGTTACACTACAACACTCTGCCAAAGGTAATCCAACCCTCAGTCTGAATGAAATTGTTTTCTCACCAAATTACAGTGTCTGCCTTGTTCCATACTGAGATTCCCATCTCATTCCCAGAAGCATCTGCTTGCCAAGCAAAAGCTAAATCCTACACACCAAATGCATGAATAAGATAACCAGGCACTTTTTGAGGGCCTCCAAATCCCAGTGTATTTTGAGATAAATGACAATATAGAGTGGCTGCTAAATTTCAAGCTCCCTTTTCCCAGCACATTGCACCCACTCAAAAATGAATGGAATAGACATTTTGTGCTCAGATCCTTCCCCAGGTCTGAGATCATGGAGTTCTAGGAATCAAAGCACAGCTCAGAGCTTGGCTGTGACAGGCTCTTAAGCAGCTGACTGCCTACTTGGTCCTGCATCCTGCTCCTAGGTCAGGGAAAGCAAGCAAAGTTGAGCTCTGGTCCCCTCATTTCCCAACAGAACTGGATTCCTGGAAGGAGGCTGTCTCCTTTGGTATCTATGCAGTGCCAAAGGCAGTTGAAATCTTGTCTCATGTATTTTGGAACCACTGAACTCCCTCATTCCCATGACCTTAACCCTCAAGCTTTTGTTCCTAAGCTGAGAGGGTGCTTCCCTCCATGGCATTTCTGCACACACCCCGTTGCACACTCTCCTCACCCCTGTCACTGCCTTATCCCAGAACTACAGAACACCTAAGGCTGAAGGAGATCACCTGGAACACTGGGATCACCTGATCCAAGCCCTCAGCTCAGAGCAGGGTTGGCTGTCGAGAGCTCTGTCCAGTTCTGAACATCTCCAGGGAGAGACTCCACTTATGGCAATCATGGGACAGAACTCTTCAAACAGAAAAATGGACTACACTCATTCTTCATTTATATCACATTAAAAACCAATTCAAGCACGTGTGAAAATGACAATACATAGCAAAGGCATCTCAAATTATGCCATGCACTGATGTTCTGGAATGACTATGATTATAGTTAAGTAATTTAAATGACTGTTGCTCTGCACTAAACTTGCTTTTAATGACAGTTCCTCTTTCTTTGCTCTACTTTATAAAATTCAGGGTCAGGTTGAATCAGGCTCTGAGAAACCTGGTCTAGTGGAAGGTGTCCCTGCTTATAGCAGGAGGTAGAACTGGATGAACTTCAAGGTCCCTTCCAACGCAAACCATTTGATGATTCTGTGATCTCTGTACCAGTAACATGAAAGCAAGAATATTTAACTGGTAAGGCCCTTGCAGAAGAACATTACCTTCAAACTCAGAGCAAGAGGACTGTTTCTTTCTTCCTTTGCACAGGAAGATGTCTAGTTTAAGCCTAAGTAGCTTCTCCAGCCCTTCATTGAGTTAGTTCAGAAAACGTTTGGCAAACATCATAGAATCATCAAATCCCAGAATGACTTGGACTGGAAGGCTAATCTTTATTCCATGGGCAGGGACACTTTTCACTAGACCAGATTGCTCCAATGGCCTTGAAACAGAACCACAGCAACCCTGCCTCTAAAGGCTGCTCAGAACCCAGCTAAACACCAGGTCATGCAGAGCAGCACCTGTATCAGCTGATCCCATCTCTGCAGCCAAATGCTGAGAGAGGTCCCCAAAGGAGTGTGGCAAGGGCACAAGATATAATGTCACATCCCCCAATACTCACCCAACCTGCAACATTTCAATCCTGTTCAGCAGGAGCCCAGCACTCTTGGGCTCTACTGGCCAGGCCCCATCCAAAGCTGGTGCTATTTGCAGTCATGGAGCAATCTCCATCAAGGACACTTCCCATCTGCATCGATAGTCCTAGGTTCCCAAAATGCCACAGAGCTGCACAGCAGTGGGCACAGGGAGTTCACTCTGAGAGCCTTGACTGTTTGTCACCACTAGAGACAGGAGCATGGCCCCAAGAGATCCTACTGTCTGGGGGCACAGCAAGACAACCTGCTCATCTCAGATGTTTCAGTGCTCAGAAAACCTCTGAGAGAGCAGAAGATGCTCCCCTTCCCACCACACTCAACCCAACCCTCTGGCAGTCACTAAATTGTCACACCAAGTTCCAGGGTTTGGCATCGTGCCTTTGCAGCTCCAGGAATCCAATGTTTTCTCCAGAATCACCCTGAGAGGCACTGAGCTGATGCCAATCAACCCCAAAGCAGTGTTCAGCACATCTGCCAGGCTGCACCGGTGCACTGTCAGCCACCAGCCAAAGCACATTCCCTATGTGCAAGTCAGAGCAAATGGAACAAGGCAGCTACCTCAAGCTTCACCACTCCTTATGCTCAGGTTTTCCTGCTTTTACCTAATAAAATTTTCTTATTTTTCCCTAATAAAACAAATAGAGCACACATATACATGAGAAATTTTAAATCCTACAGATACAAGTATTCTCTTTTCACATGATGCTGGAAAATGGAACGGCCAGATCTGAGTTTGATTACTAAATGCACCCCTAAAAGAGTTTTTGGGCACGATCTGAATGAAGTAACCTATCTAATGACTGAGCAGACTAGGATGTAATTCCCTGAACTCTGACCCAAATATTACTTTCACTGCAGCAACATGTTGCATCCCATCAAGGCACTACAGCATTTTGCAGAAGAACCAACAAAACCCAGGGCATCCAAACTGATATTATAAATAAAAGGTACCAAATCTGGAGCCACTAATCCCTCATTTCTTTCCGTCTTACCTCTAGAAGCTGTACTGCTCCCTCATGTTCCCTTCTTGCCTCTGCCTGTGCCTAAGGAAAAATAAGGAAAGGAGTAAATCAGAAAGCAGCCAACCTGAGTTCACTTCTGCTGTCATCCTACCATGGTAGTCCATTGTAGACCGGAGCACGGGTCTGGTGAAGAGCAGCTGAGGGAGCTGGAAAGGGGCTCAGCCTGGAGAAAACGAGGCTCAGGGGGGACCTCCTGACTCTGCACAACTCCCTGACAGGAGCAGACAGCTGGGGGGGCAGCTGGGCTCTGCTCCCAGGGAGCAAGGGACAGGACAAGGGGAAATGGCATCAAGCTGTGCCAGGGCAGGGTCAGGTTGAATACTGAGAAAATTTATTCACAGTCCCTGGCACAGACTGCCCAGTGCACTGGTGAACTGCAGCAGTTTAACAGCTGTGTAGATGTGGCTCTTGGGGACACGGGTCAGTAGTTGCCATCCAGTGCTGGGGGAATGGATGGATTCGATCTTGGAGGCTTTTCCAAACTGAATGATTCCATGATTTTATGACTTAAATCACTGTACAGTCCGGAAACATCTCTGGGCTCTAGACATACAGCAGCGAGAGGTCAGAACTGACATTCATAAGCAAAGCCCTTCACTTGGCTCAGGTACCAGAGTTCACCTGGACTCAGACACTCTTACCCTGTAAATTCACATCTCCCTCCCCCATGCACACCTCCAAAGTAAACAAGGTGCAGGAGTCCATTCAGAGAGGAAAATGTCCCTGTCACACACCACATACCTGCTGCAACCGCCGGACCTCCTCCTGCTTCTCCTGCAGGACTAGCAATGCTTCCTTGTGCTCCACTTCCAGCTGCTGCCTCCGCTCAGCCACATTTCTCATGTGCTGCAGGAGAAGGCACACATAGCTGAGGGGTGGCACTACTGTCACCCTGCTCTGTGTGCTACCAATGACCATAAAGCCAAACTAGGGCCTGTATTTCATGTCATCATTCCACAAAGAAAGAAATTCCCATCACAAGGCAGAGCAACACTGTCAGAGAAAATCTTCAAATCAGTGATGGTCACCTTATCTCCCACCCAAATCCCTGAAGCAGCCTTTCCAAAGCACCTCTGTCCACTTTGGAAAGACATGTTCCAGGATCCTGCAGAAGCAGAATTCCCAGTGAAAGTATAGAGACGAAAGAATGGTCAGAAAAGGCAGACAACCTGTGCCATTCAAAGGAAGCAGTAGGTGTCTGGACAGTCCATCCAGCCATGTGGACCCTACTGACCTTCAGCACCTGCTCTAGATTCTCCAGCTTGGTTTGGAGTCCTTGATTCGTCTGAATTACTGAATCCCGTTCCTTAGTCACTAAAACAACCTGCAGTTTCAGGTCAGCATTCTCAGATTCAACCTGAAAAGAAAGGATGTTCAGTGAGCACAAGCAGCCATAGGTGTTCCTTGTAAAAACAACAGAGACCAGTTTATTTCTGTGCTTTCTGCTGGCAATGATACCAAAATCAGGAACTTCCTCTGCCTCGATTTTCACTTAAATATATGAGCATTTGTATCAGGCCTCAATGTGTAACAATTTATTTGCACACTGCTTCTCTCCCTAGATTCATCTCCCCTCCCCTTTTGCAGGGAGGAAGAGACTGGGATAGGAACAGGCTACATAATGAAGAGATAAAAAAAAAAAAAAAACAAGCACAAGGTCTATAAGCATTTTTAATCCTATGTTGTAGGATTAAACACAGAGGACAGAAACACAGGACAGAAAATTCAGTAGCCTGCTGAAATTGTCTTTGCCTCCTTCACCTCCCACAAGGAATTTCTGGTTCCAGGGTGCACTATGGCTTGCCCACTACCAGCAACGCAAGCATAGACAAACATTTCCACTTACAGCAGTTGTTAAATATGTAGGAAGCCTTATGGTGGCAAATTGACACATGGGACTGACAAATGACTTTCTAACTCCTGTGCATTAGATTTGTCCAGAGAAGAAGCTGGGAACAGAAGCCCACAACCATTACTGAGCTGGAAACTTAAGAACAACATGTTCTTCTCAGAAGAGTTTTGCAGAAGCCAATGCTGCCAAACTGACAAAGACACTGCTTTTACCTGTCCTGCCCACCCAGCCTTCTGATTCAGCTGCAAATTCTCTTCAGCCAGTCGTGCATTTTCATTCTGCACCTCCTGCAGCTGGATCTCCTGTCCAGAAAGAGCAGGAATTACACGAAGCTCCTCTGACTAACCCCCCCAGATTATCCTGCAGAGCAGCTCCATTGCTCCTGTTTCCTGATGCTGCAGGAGGCTGGTGGGATGCTGCTAGAGGTCTGGGAAGCAACAGTGAGAAGCACTACCCAAAAAGAACCCAGGGCCGGACGATGGTCTTGTCCTGTGAATTCATAATGACCTTTAAGGTATCTTCCAACCCAAACCAGTCTTTGATCTCTTGAGCAAAGCAAAGCAGAAACAGAAGGGAGAAATCCAGATGTTCTGGTATGAGCTGCAAAACTTCCCTGGAATTAAACAGGATTTCAGCCAACAAAAATCACAAGAAAAAGACAGTGGGATGGTGTTATTATCATTTCAATTCCTGTATGGAGTGCCTGTGAAAATGGTTAAGTATTTCCCCAAATTAGCAAAGGCCATGGAATTTCATCCAGTGATTTGTGTAGTTGTATTCAGCCCCCAGGTAGTGGAAAGACTAAATAAACAATCCCAGCCTTACGGGCTGGAGCCCCAAATTTGTGACACTGTTCAAATGAACAGAAACACTGGTGATTCCTTATTAAGATGAACTGAAGAGAATCCAAGAGAGGCACACAACAACGTAGCTCCTCCCATTATGCTTGTAAAGTAGGCAACAAGAACACTTACTAGTTCTTTGCATCTTTTATGCTTTTTCCTCACTTCATGCTCAAGGTTTTCACATTTTTTGCGCTTTTTCTTGAGTTCAACTTCCTGCACAAAACAACCAGAAGTAGATCAGGAAGCCCACACTCTTACAATGCATATGAAATTCAAGCCCAGCCTCTCAGACCCAGTGCTTCATTAATTATTTTTATTTTCTTATGAAAATCTCTTTGTGACAAAGTTAAACAATGTAGAAACCAAGGGAAATTTTTCTGAAAGTTAGGAAAATAAAATTTAAAAAAAGCAACTATTCCTCTCTTCCCCAAGCCTTCCGTCTGAAAATAATCCTGCTCCCACATACATGGACTGCTCCTATTTATACAGAACATTAGAGAGGACAAGGTGTGGGGGACAAAACAACAGATTTTCTGTATAGAATTTTCATCTTTAAACACCAGCTGTGCTATTTTAGCTCCTTTTCTAATTCCAGTAACACCTAACAGAGCACAGACATCCTCCTGATCTGCAGCTACTCACTACCCTTCGGATCGACAGGAGCTGCTAAACCTCCCTGTGCAGTCTCAATTGCTGCAATAATTCACAAGGGACACATTCCTCATCCACATCTGTCCCCAGTTAAAATAAGCCTGAACCAAACACAGCACAGAACCTACTGGCATGTTTCCCTCACATCCGAGAGTGACGTATTCCCCTGCCAGCATAGCACCCGGACCTGCCACCCAGCAACACCCTGCATGCAGATGGCCTGTGTTTTCCTACCAATTCCCCAAGCTTCCCACTTTTGCAGGGCAGCTGCACCTAAAAAGACTTCAGTCCCCAAAATCTCTACCTGGACTGCACATATGAAACCCCCAACAAAAATAAGAAAGTAGCACACTCCTTCACCCAAACCAGGTTCACAACTCACCAGCTGCTGTATCTGTTTGCTGCTCTCCTGGTTTGTTACTGCATTTTTGGGAGGAAAATTTTCATGTCCTTCAAAGACAGGTCCCAGTGGTTGCACACCTGGTTCCACCTGAAAGCAGAAGAGATGCCAGAGAGCTCAGGGACATCCTGAGACTATAGAGCACACTAAGGACAGAGGGACTTTCCTGGCAGTACCACCCAGGAGAACAGCACTACACAGGGAACTCCTGATCTCTGAGCTCCACCACTTGACATGGAGAAAGCTGGACACCTTGCCAGGGATCTCTGTGCTGGCAATCTCCCGGAGCCCAGTGCCAACCAGCACAGCTTGACTGAAGCATCTCTGAGGAACAGTGGGCTCCTGGAAGCTCTCAGAGCCAAGCTGCCATCTGTGCTTCACCTAACGACCCAATGAGAGGCAGCAGCAACACCTTCCATGGCCCTCCCCAAAGCGACATAGAGGGGATTAGGGAGAACACAGCTCACAAAGGGGAGAAATAAGTGAAGATGTCAGAATCTAGGGGCAGGGAAGAGCAAGCGCTGATTGGTTTGACCACAACCTCCCAAAAAACTCACTTCCTTCTTAACCTATGACACAAACACTACCAACAAATGCAGCACCCCACCTCTGCTGGTATCTGGGAAGGGCTAAAATGGCAGCAGTGCCATGGCTTTTGTGCACCACCAAACTAGATGAAAGGAGACACCTTCTATACACATTTGTACACAAGTTTCTAACAAAAAGCCTTTTCATTTGGGTCACAGACAAATACACATTAATCCTCTGAATTTTTGCTCTTGGCTGATACTTGACTTGACATTGCCCAGAATAAGCCCTGACTGCAGGGCAAGGACTGAAACACACAGAAGAAAAAGGGTCTTGATAAGGTTTTTAACATTAACTGTGAAGTTATTTTTGATAAACAGATTTTAGGGACAGATCTTTAAGATCATCAAAGCAAACCTGTACTGTGAGGAAGCAGCAGGACTCTATGAATCCATCTCAGCCTTAGCTGACCTATCCTCAGACATGGGGTTCCACATTTCACTCTCAACACCTTCAATGCTGAGGGATCCATGGGATGAGGTCTGAGATCCCTGTACAGCCAGCCATTAGGGCAGTGTCTAAGCACTATACCTAGGATGTGATTTTTAACTTATTTTTGTCTTGAAAAACATAGGTTTTATCTACATCTATATTCATGGTTCTTATGCTGAAAGCCTGACAGCTCCAAGAGCTCACACTCAAGCCGAGGCTGCCAAGGATTTCTCATTTTTTGCTAAAAAAAAAACAAAAAAACAACTGAAATCACCTTCCATGTGAACCTTGTTCCCTCTCATCCATGGAATAAGGTTCACTGCAGAATCCAACAGTCTGTGCCATCAACCAGCATGTGGAAATCTTGGGATCCTTCACCCAACCCATGTCACCTCAAGGACCCCCCTTGTGCTTGGGGGGTCCCCCTCAAGTGCTTGGAAGCTTTCAGGTCTGCTGTGAAACCCGTATTTAATTGTGGAATAGCCCTGTGGAAATATTTCTGATACTTTTTTGCTTTTCAATCACCTTTCTCATATTAAGTATCAAACTGGTATTTCAGAGAATCCCAGAATCACTGAGTTTGGAAAAGACCTCCAAGCCCATCCAGTCCAAAACTGTGCCCAATCCCCACCTTGTCCCCAGCCCAGAGCACTGAGTGCCACATCCAGGTCTTCCTTGGACTTCTCTGAGGATGGGGACTCCAAACCTCCCCAGGCAGGCCTGCCAAAGCCTGAGCACCCTTTCCAGAAGAAATTCCTGCTGAAGATCACCCCGATCCTCCCCTGGCCCAGCCTGAGGCCGTTCCCTCTCCTCCTGTCCCTGTTCCCTGGCAGCAGAACCCGACCCCCCCGGCTGTCCCCTCCTGTCAGGAGCTGTGCAGAGCCACAAGGGCCCCCTGAGCCTCCTTTTCTCCAGGCTGAGCCCTTCCCAGCTCCCTCAGCTGCTCCTGGGGCTCCAGCCTGGGGTGCTTCGTATTACAGGGTTCAGCCAAGGGATTGGCAACAGCCTCCTCCATTCACCAGTGCTGTCAGATTTAGCCTTGCTGACTTATTTGTCAGCCAAAAAATCTTCTGGCAGTGAGGACAGACTCTCCTGAGTCAGAGACACAAAGCACATGCACGAGAAAAGCCATCTTGTCTGACAAAACCTGCAGGATCAGATGGAAATCAAGATATGGAAGGGTCATTCAAGGAAGGTAAGGCAGGGCACAGGGAAGAAAACATCTGTGCATCCCTCTTCATCACAGCCAAATTTGGGGGGGGGGGGGGGGGGATG